TTGTTCAAACAAAGTGGGATTTGTTTTAAGCTAAAACCACGCATTGGGTTGGAGTGAGTGAGGCTTATTCAGAAGGACTGAGCTGACCTCAGCTCCAAGGTCAGCAAGCAGACACCGCGGGGGCTGGAGTGGGCCCCCGGGGAAGGGGGGTGGTCTCCACTTCCAGGGCCCCCGCCCCCTCCACCAGCATTTTTCCGCTCCCTGCACGGTTTTACCAAATAGAGGTATCCTGACACCACCTTGGAGGCTGGGAGACACACAGCCATGCCTCCCTCCCCGGCCCACGCTGGCCAAGATGAGAGGCACGTGTCAAAGCAAGAAGGAAGCAAGCAACCAGGCCTTCTTCCCGTGATCCACCTCCAAGGCTTGGAAAGGCTTTGTTCCCCAGGTGAGAACATCCCGAGGGATATTTCAGGGAGTAGGACACCAGCAAAGACGCAGGGCACACGGATCTACAGGCTGCCGGCTGCCGTGTGGGTGACGCAGCCTCAGGCCCCCTGCCATCCCCCCAACCCCGCCTGGGATCTGGAGGGTGAAGGGTCCCCACCAACTACCACCCGCTCCTCACCCATCCTGAAAACAAGCCAAGCGCCCCTTAGCACAGCTTCTGTCGACCAAGACTGAAGTTCAACAGGGCAAGGCCCAGCCTGGGCCTCCTGGGAGCCACTGCTCCAGGCAGGCCACCAGCTTTGGGGGAGGGCATGACCGCAGCAACCTCTCTGGGGCCCCCAAACAGCTTCTAAGGTCCCCGGCACCCTCCACCCACCCATCACTCACCTGACAGGGAGCCGCAGTCTCCAGCCCCCTGGTTGGCCTTAAATGCTCTCAGCAGGTGGCATGTCTTTAGGGGCATTTGGCCCATCCCCACGGGGCTGGTTTCTGACCAATGTCAACTGTTCTTGGAATCACGTGGGGAGCTCCGCCCACCCTGCCACCAGGGCCCCACCCCAGAGACTGATTGAGCTGGCCTGTGGGGTGCGGAGGGAGGCCTAGGTCTCCAGGTGACTCTCATGCACCGACAAGGTACAGATGGGAGCCTCAGAGGCACCGCGGACCTTCAGGCTCTGCAGCTGCAGCCTTGGAGACCCTCAGATGGGTGATCAAGAGGCGAGGGGCGGCAGCATCTACCTCCAGGGAAGGGTTTGTATTCTGGGTGTTTTAAGGCTTCCGGGATTCAGCTGGATTGAGTGGCCTCTTCCTAAAATTGAAGGATTAGGCTTAAAGCTGCTGTCGAACAGTTAACAAATGATTCTTCCCAAGGCAGGCAAAAGATTGGGTGGTGGCGAGAATGGGTCTACCTCGTATCAAAATGGAAATAGGAACAAAATTTCATGTATTTCTTCAACAAATATTTATTGTCTCCACTGTGTTTCAGGCCCTGGTGTGCAACAGTGAACAAGATGACCTGGTTCCCGCCCTCCCATCAGGAGCAGAGATGGGCCTAGAGTGGGAACAGGAGAGTCATTGCAACAACACAGGGCAGGGGAGGTCAGGGAGGGCTTCCTGGAAGAGGTGATGCTAGAGCCACGTCTGTAGGAAAAGGAGTCAGCAGGTGAAAAATTGTGAGAAAAATGCTCCAGGCAGAGGGAACAGCATAGGAAAAGGCACCAAGGCAAGAAAACCCAGCCATGGTTCACTTGGGAACAGAGGCTGTTCAGGATTATTAGAGGGACGATGGGGTCAGGTGCCAGGTCAAAGATGGCCTGGTGTACAGGGGAGGGGCAGAGGGAGCCATCCACTCTGGTCCAGGCAGTAGGGAGTTGCACTGTCTGTAGGGGATTTTTTTTTAATTAAATTTTTAAAAATATATTTATTTCATTTATTTATTTTTGGCTGTTGGGTCTTTGTTGCTGTGCACGGGCTTTCCCTAGTTGTAGCAAGCGGGGGCTACTCTTTGTTGCAGGGCGCAGGCTTCTCATTGTGGTGGCTTCTCTTGTTGCGAAGCATGGGCTCTAGGCGCACGGGCTTCAGTAGTTGTGGATTGCGGGCTCAGTAGTTGTGGCTCGTGGGCTCAGTAGTTATGGCTCGTGGGCTCTAGAGCACAGGCTCAGTAGCTGTGGCACACGGCTCAGCTGCTCTGCAGCACATGGGATCTTCCTGGACCAGGGCTCAAACCCATGTCCCCTGCATTGGCAGGTGGATTCTTAACCACTGAGCCACCACGGAAGCCCTGTAGGGGATTTTTAATCAATGATAAAACCAATTACGTCTGTTTGCTCTTTGAGCCAGGAATTCCGAAGAGTGTCAGGGGGCTGCACCCACCTGTTACTCACTCTTTGAAGGTGTTTGGACTTTGTGCAGAGAGCAGCAGGCAGCCCCCGAAGGTCCCAGCAGGGTTGTGTCCCTATTTGCCTTATTTTTACTTTCTTTTTTTTTATTATGGAAAGTTCCAAATTTGTAAAAGGGGAGAGAAGAGTACAAACGAATCCTTGAGGACACCGAGGTCCAACAGTTACCAACTCCACCCTTCTTTCTTCTCCCCCCATCTTTTTTATTATGTATTTATTGATTTTGGTTGGTGTGATATAAAGGAAATCTCAGGCATATCATTTCATCCATAAAGTTTCAGAATGAATCTCTAACAGATAGACTTAAAAACTAAACCAAAATACCATGATCACACCTACCAAAAGCAACATTCTTAGTGGGTCATTTTAGAATATTTAGGCTAACCTGGAGGGAAGGGGTAAGAGGAGGATTCTTTCCCAGGTGGGGCTAGAAAGAGGAGGTGTCTGACCCCAGGACACCCTGGTTACAGCAGGAGATGGGGGAGGAGAAGTCGGGGTTCTGAGTTGGTGAAGCATGGGGTTCAGGGTTGGACCCGCACATCCAGGTGCCTGGAGAACATCGAGGTGGGGATACAGCAAAGGCCAGTCGGCTCAGACCTGGGGTGGGACCCGGTGAGCCGCTCGAGGCAGTGGTGGGTGATAATGACACAGAGATATAAGTTAAAGCTGTGGTTTCAAGCTGAGGTGGCTGGTAAGGGATGGTGTCAGAAAAGGGGGATTCAGGATGACTTACAGGAGGCCTGATTCCCACAGGATCCAAGGCCAGCAGAGAGATTGCCCTAGGCCTCCCTGTTCTGCCCAAGGCATTTGAGACAACCCACCTCTCTCCACCTCCACTTGGGACCCAGGCCCGATGGCGACCCTCTCACCTCATCACAGCCGTCACTGCTTTGGCCTGTGCCCCTTTGGGCTTTTAAACACACACACACACATGCACAGATCCTTTAAACATTTAAGTCAAGTTACACCACTTTGCTGCTCAAACGCTCCAGTGCTCCCAACATCCCTACAATCGCCTGTGAGGCCCTTCATGCTCTGCCTTGCCTCCCATCCTCGTCCTCTGACTTTACTCCCTCCACTCTGGCTCCAGCCACCCTGGCCTCCTCTCGGTCCTGCAAACACATCAGGACCACGCTGGCCTCAGGGCCTTTGCACCTGCTGTTCCCTGTGCCTCCCTCACTTCCTTCAGGTGTCAGTTTTGAGAGACCATTCCTGGTCACCCTGTCTAAAATCAAACCTCACCCCATCCTTGCATCCCCACCTGACTCACTTCATTCTGATGTTCTCCCAGGCAGCACTTGCTAACAACTGAAATGCAATGCATTCACTTGTTTGTTTATTTCCCATCCCCACCCCTGAAATAGAACATAAGCTCTACGAGGGTAGGGGCATTGTCTGTTTGACTCGATGCTATATCCCCACGGCCAGGAAGAGTCATTGCTCATTATATTTGTGGAATGCATAAGTGGGCGTGCTGGCCCCAGAGCCAGGCTCTCCCCCTGCCCCCACTGTGTTCCAGGCGTTCCCCCCTCCAGCACCCAGGAAGTACCCAGGGTGTACGGTGGGCACGCTCAACACCCTTCCCGAGCCAAGCATTGAGCTGGCGTCCTTTGAGTAAATCGAATCAGCTCACCACACAGAGCCCACAGTCGCCACCCAGAGGACTCAGAAAAGCAGCAGGAAGATCACTTCAGATGGAATCTGAGTCCTCAAGTGGAGGTCACTTCATCCTCTCCGACTCCTAAGCCCCGATCACTGGCAAGGGCCACACCGTCCACCCAGCCTGGGAGCATGACCTCAGCTCCCCGCTTCCATCTCCTTCCTCCATCAGCCCCACCCTCCACTGAGCCCCTTTCCTTGACCCTCCCGACCTCTGCTCGGGGCTGAGCCCTGGGGACCACTTGCCCACTGGTCTGACGGCAGGTTTCTACACCTTTCCAACAAACTCTTACGTTAAATTCTTGAGATTGAATTACCTGGATGGGTTTGTTTACCTGGTTTGTTTAACCTGCCTTGACTCCTTTGATGCAGTAGGAATTACCAATCGCATTTCACAGAGTGGGAAACTGAGGCTGCCGACCTCGATGTGAATTGCCTGAGGTTACATGATGGAAGACCAGGTCTGTGTGGCCCCATCTTTGCCTCAGTGTGTGCTATCGCCTGTGCTAGGGTCGCAGCTGTTTCCCTTCCTTCCTCCCTCCCTCCTTCCCTCCCTCCCTCCTTTCCCCCCTCCCTTCTCTCTCTCTTTCTCTGTCTCTCTCTCTCTTTCTTTTTTTATGGTAGTAAAATACCTTAACATAGGGCTTCCCTGGTGGCGCAGTGGTTGAGAGTCCGCCTGCCGATGCAGGGGGTGCGGGTTTGTGCCCCGGTCCAGGAAGATCCCACATGCCGCGGAGCGGCTGGGCCCGTGAGCCATGGCCACTGAGCCTGCGCGTCCGGAGCCTGTGCTCCGCAACGGGAGGGGCCACAACAGTGAGAGGCCCGCGTACCGAAAAAAAAAACAAAAAAACAAAAAACCATAACATAAAATTGACTATTTTAACCATTTTTGAGTATACAGAGTGGCATTAAGTACATTCACACTGTTGTGCAGCCATCACCACCGTCCATCTCTGGAACTCTTTTCATCTTTCCAAACTGAAACTCTGTCCCCATTAAACACTGACTCCCCAGCCCCTGGCACCCACCCTTCTACTTTCTGTCTGTGTGAATGTCATGACTCTAGGGACCTCATATAAGTGGAATCACACAATATTTGTCCTTCTGGGACTGTCTTACTTCACTCAGCGTGACGTCCTCAAGGTCCATCATGTTGTAGCAGTGGTCAGAATTTCCTTCCTTCTGATTTCTTTCTTTAAAACAAGAACATGTTTTTCATGTTCACGTAGCATCATTAATACTGTTATTTACAGTGGACTCCCAAGTGGTGGGGGAGGGGGAGGAGTATTTACCGTTGACACAGTTTACACCAGCGCAGGGCTCTAGTAAACGCAGACTGATTTCTACTCGGTTTTCATTGTCTTTAAATCCTCTGCAGTCAGGACTCCTCCTTGTTACCCATGTCCCCGGCCACCTGCTCCATCATCCCCCCAACTCCGTGCATCACTGGTTATTTATAAATGCCCGTTCATTTATATTAATAATGTAAAAGGGATTAAAAAAAGAACCCCAGAATTGGAGAGTTGATGTCACAATTCCTCAGGGGATCCAGGGAAGGTTTTGTCCTTGAGGTCAGTCTTTGAGAATCCACAGCTCCGTGGGAATGCATGGCTCCTGACAAATGCAGCTGTCACCGTCCTTGGCCTCTGCACATGCGAGCTTGTGTGTATGTGTGTATATGTCTGTGTGTGTTTCTGTGTGGGTATGCCGGTGTGTGTCTCTGTGTCTGTCTGTATGTGTGCATCTGTGTATGTCTGTGAGTGTGTCTGTGTTGCGTCTGTGTATCTGTGTGTATTTGAGTGTGTCTCTGTGTCCATGTGTCTGTCTGTGTGTTTCCCTGTGTGTCTGTGTGTGTGCACACATGTGTCAGAATGTCCCCAGATCCTGGGGGAACTCTAACTTCCCAGGATGCTGACGCTTAAGGAGTTCATTTCAGATTCTTGGGAAATGCTATTTGGCCCAGAACCAGGAGAAGAAGAGGAAAGGGGATACTAAGGAAGACAGACAAAGGAACCCACATTGATTATTTATCAAGTCTGAGGCTCCCCAGTAAAATCAGGTCTGAATCCTTCCACACAGCAGTTATTTCCTCAAAGCATTTGTATTTTCTGGGCTGTTCGGCACCATCCCTCCCAAGTTTCTCATCCACCTGATTGTCCTAAGCATTGGTTTTCTGGGGGTGAATTTTCTCCTCGTTGGGGCCGCTGAATAGCAGAGGCACAAGTCGCACCCAGGGTCCAGGGTTGTGTGTGGCTTTCCCCGACACCACGTGACCTCAGGAGCTGGGCTGTGGACACGGCTCCTTTGGGAGCAGCTCCTGGGTGCCTACTCTGTGCTGGCCTCTGCGAGGTGCAGGAGTGAACCTGACAGGGTCCCTGCTGCCGAGAAACTAAGAATCACAGTTGTCATCGCTCGAGCACTGAGGCTCTCACAATCACATAGGGTCTTTGGTCCACCATCATCACCTCACCATGTGACAACTGGGTGAGATGGATATTATCATCATCCCAGATAAAGGAGGGAGGGAGGCATTCAAAGACAGCACTGTGTGTCCAGCACGGTACTCCCACTCCCTGTGATGGCTCTGTGGGGGACATGCTGTCCTCACAGAGTACAGGAGAATAAGGCCAAGGTTCACGCCACCCCAGTCTGGGGCCCCAAAGGGAGTTGTGACATAAATACGTGTTGAACGGATGGATGGATGAATGGATGGATGGACGGATGATAATGATAAATGAACAAATGGATGGATGGATGGATGACTGGATGGTTGGATGGATGCTGGATAGATGAATGAGTGGATTGATGGATGGATGGATGAGAGATTGTCAGCTGAGCTGAGGTTTGAATTCACCAGTTATTTGACCTTGGGGGATCCACAGAAAGCAGAGATTCTCTCCTTCAGAAAAATAAGAATAAATACTTCTTGACAAAGAGGAAAGATGCTGGGGGGGATAAAAAGTGAAAACAATTTTTAGCTATTTTGAGATAATGAAATGAAAATGGCACAATAGTGCCAAATAAAATCAAATTGAGATATAGGTCTAAATGCAGTATGAAAAAGAAAGAAACACAGCTGGAGAAATCTATCTGCAGCAAGCTTGACCACCATATTTCTGGGATTCCACAGAATTCACGATTAATTAGGAGATCTCCAGTTGACTTGGAATCAGAGACTTGTCAAGCTGGGCTGACTTTGGAGAACTCCTTGCCTAGGTCCAGCTTGTGTTAGAGGAGCCTGTCTTAGGCCTCATCTTCCATTTCAGAGTCTGCAAGGAAGTTTCCAGCAGTGGCTTGCTCGGGCTCTCCCCTCCCTGAGATGACCCTGCAGAATTCCAAGGGTCTCTGGGGCGATGGGCTATTTCTGGGCCCAGGCTCCGTGTCCATGTTTGGCCTTCAAGGAGCACACTGTGAACTTTCCTGCACCTGCCAAGGTTTCAACCCGCAACCCTCCTGGGAGGGCACTGATTTCCACCCCCTTCCTCCAAGGAATCAAACAGCAGCTGGGAATGCAGCTCGAGGAGCTGCCAGGAAGTACCCTCCAACCACCACCCTGGGGCAGAAAACCGAAGGGAAGATCTTGAGATATCTCTGACAGGCATTTGTTACCTTTTTGATGCTAAAAATTAATTTCAGATCCTAAAAACAGTCCTTCTCATTGAGAGAAACTTTAGGCAACACTGATAAATTTAAAGAAGATTTAACAAAAATCACCTGATGGGTCTGACCACCTGGCTGAGGATCCTTTCAGGTAAGCTCTTGGTGCCTCTGTTTACACAGGTGCCATTTTGCAAAAAAGGGCCCAAGCTGTTCTATAACCTTTCTTAAAAAACAAAACAAAACAAAAAAAACCCAACAGTCTGCTGTGAGCCTTGTTCCATGCCAGTAAATATGAATTTACATCATCAGTTTAAAAAATATCCACTGTGCCTTTATTTCACTTTATTTATAGTTCATAATTAGTTAGATTATGAACTAATCCCCTATGGATGGACATTTAGGTTGTTTCCAACTTTTCATCCTCACAGTTTGACCATCCCAATAGCAATCCCCTGCAGAATTTCCCCTTCTGCTCCCTTCTATGCAAAGCTAACTCAGAGATGCCCGAAGGAGGGAAGGAGAGAGAGAAGAGAAAAAAGGAGGAGGAGAGGACAGAATAACGGCATTTGGGCTTCTAAAGAGGTTCCCCTGAGGAGCTGAGACGGGAGCCTGGGTGGGAAGTGCCTGGTGAGGGGCTGCTCAAGGCCCAAGGTGGGAAGTTGGGGCCAGAAGCCTCAGGCTTGACGCAGCTGCCCTTCCTCAGATCGGAGGGTCCAAAACCTGGATACCCTAGAGGCATGTGTCCAGCCTATACATCCAAACTGTGTGGAATGTGGAGCTGGGACGATGAGAGAGGCGGCAATGAGATGCTCCCATGAAGGAGTGGGGATCGGGCTGCCGACGACTCTGCCGACACCTGCAGAAACCAGCTGACGATTACCAGGCACGATAAATATATTCCAACTCTGTCCTCACGCCACCCCCCCAGCCCCAGCCCTGAGCCAAGTTCTCAGAGCTCACGGCTCCAACACCTGACCTTGCTCAGAGGAGCCCAACATGCTGCAGGGAAGCTGCCCAGAGATAAGCAGAGGTGGATGGAGGAGGAACTTCTTGGGGTCTCCATTCTGAGTCACGTGGGGAGATCCTTAACATGTAGGCAGCGTATCACCACTTAAACACAATTTAAAGACGAGCCACAGGAGAAAACAATTTCATAGCACATATCCAACAATGGCCTTGTGTCTAGAATATATAAAGAGCTCTCAAAATTCATTAATAAGAAAACAAACTACCTGATTTTAAAAAAAAATGAGCAAAAGATCTGAACAGACACCTCACCAAAGAACATACGTAGGTGGAAGATAAGTATGTGAAAAGATGCTCAATATAATTCATTAATGATGATTAGTTACAAATTTTAAAAAAGCATTTTCGAGTCCACAATCCATTTGATCATTTCATCAGTTCTGTGAAGTTAGTAGTTGTTGTTATTACTATTATATTAATAATAATAATAATTTTTTAAATTAATTTTAAATTTTTTAATTTATTTTTTGGCTGCATTGGGTCTTCGTAGCTGCATACTGGCTTTCTCTAGTTGCTGCAAGCGGGGGTTACTCTTCGTTGCAGTGCATGGGCTTCTCATTGTGGTGGCTTCTCTTGTTGCAGAGCATGGGCTCCAGGCACGTGGGCTTCAGTAGTTGTGGCTCGCGGGCTCTAGAGCGCAGGCTCAGTAGTTGTGACGCACGGGCTTAGTTGCTCTGCGGCATGTGGGGTCTTCCAGGACCAGCGCTCGAACCCGTGTCCCCTGCATTGGCAGGCGGATTCTTAACCACTGCGCCACCAGGGAAGTCCTGTTGTTATTATTATTTTTCCCATTTAATAGTGAAGAACTGGGAGGCTCATGGAGGTTAAAAGACTTACTCAAGGTCAAAACTGAGACTCAAAGTCATGGAACTCTTTCCACTTGGGAGGTCTCTGCATTCTAAGAATGTTCTAGAAGCCAACACTTTGTATCCAATTGGACAAGGGCACACTTCTCTTTTTAAACAAGGAGAGAAGACCACACCCACCCACAAACTCCCACCATCATGGATGGACAGACCAGCTTCATAAGCAGGAGGCCCTTAGGAGTGTACAGTAAATGTGTGCAGGGGGTGACCACTGAATGTCCAACAGCAGTGGCACGCGTAGGCTGGGAAAGCCCGCCTGTGGACCTTCCAGAGCTGGCGCTTTGCTTCACAGGAAGGCGGGGCGCTGTCCCAGGAGCAGCTGGCTCCTGTCCAGGGCCTAGCACACGGCAGGGAATCTACAGCTTTGGCTTCCTGACTGCGGATCTGAACGGGGGTCCCATTTACTTTGACTTACCTTGAATGAGAACTCTGTTCCATCCGAGGTGCTGGGCCCTGGTCGTGGCACTAGGGGGCCCTCCAGGGGCACTGCCAGGGTTGGGGGTGTGGTCCTCAGGCTGTAAAAGAACAGAAGGATTGAACATGGCGCTACTCCCCCGCCTTTATCTCCCAATCTCGTCTGCCCTCCCCAGTCCTTCTCCCGCTATAGCACTCAGCACAGTGTTTCCCCACCAGAGGCACAGAGTCAACAGAGCAAACTGCTCGGAGGCAGAGAGAGTCTAGTTAACTGTATGTCTTTGCTGGGGTAGCAAAGAACCTGGCACAGACCTCAAGGGACTGGGGAAAGGAAAGAAGGGGGATGGGGGGAGAGATTGACACATAAGGACTATCAGGCCTATTTCCTAAACCGGCTGCTTGGGGGAAGGGCTCAACCCTCTGTGTATGCTAAGTCCAGGGGTTTCTGGATGTAGATGACAAGAACAACTTCCATCTAGACAACCCCCCGAACAGAGTACTGCACTTGGTGTCATTGTTTCCCATACACGGCTCAGGCTTTCATCCATTCAGCGAATACTTATCGACCGTCTAATAGATGTCAGGCACTTGTATGAGCTCATTTAATTCTCATAACAAGCCTATTTGGTAGGTACCACTGTTATCCCCATTTTCAAGATGAGAAAATTGAGGCACAGAGAGCTCATAAGGGGCAAACCCAGAGACTCTCGTTTCTGAGTCCAAGTTCTTGACCACCACACTCTAGTGCTTCCCGGTAAAGAGACCAAGCCCCTGCCCTCACCTCACTTATGTCCTATGAGGCAAGACCCCCCGAAATCATCCAGTAGATCTATAATGCATTGTTTGGAGAGTGATTTAAGTGCTAGGAAGAAAAACAAAGTCATTTCTCAGACACTGACTTGCTGTGTGTCTTCTGGCAAATTGCTTCACCACTCTGAGCCTCTGTTTTCTCATCTGCTAAAAGTAGGTCATTACTCATCTGCCCTATGCACGTGCCTGGGTTGTTGGAAGGATCAAAATGAGCTCATGGACAAGGGAGGCCCTTGTTTTCATGGTTGAACCAACACCAGCCCTTGACTCCAGGGAATTTTTCACCTGAGGGGATTCAGCTCATCTTGCCTTCTATAGAAAGACATCACTAGACTTCCCGCTGGTATCTTTAGGGGCTAGATGACTCCAAGTCCAATGCGATTCTTAGTGTAACTTTTAAAAAATATTTATTTAGGGCTTCCCTGGTGGCACAGTGGTTGAGAGTCCGCCTGCTGATGCAGGGGACACGGGTTTGTGTCCTGGTCCGGGAAGATCCCACATGCCGCGGAGCTGCTAGGCCCGTGAGCCATGGCCGCTGAGCCTGCGCGTCCGGAGCCTGTGCTCCGCAACGGGAGACGCCACAACAGTGAGAGGCCCACGTACCGCAAAAAATATATATATATATTTATTTGGTTGCACTGGGTCTTAGTTGCAGCAGGTGGGCTCCTTAGTTGTGGCACATGGGCTCCTTAATTGTGGCACGTGGGCTCCCTTAGTTGTGGCATGCATGTGGGATCTAGTTCACCAGGGATCGAACCCGGGCCCCTTGCATTGGGAGCACGGAGTTGTAACCACTGCACCACCAGGGAAGTCCCTCTTAGTGTATTTTTAAAGGCAGAGAACAATGCATGCGCTCACCTACTCTTAGGAGGTAGCAGTCACCTGACAGTTACTTCAAGGGCCTTCCCCAAGCACACTACTGAGATGGAACTTTCTGGAATGCTGACCATTAAAAACTCCCCTGTGAGAAGCTCAAACCAAGAGACAGGTGCTGGATGTCCTACATTTGCTCCAGATCTATTTGCAATCCTTCACCACCCTGTTTCGTGTCCCAGGAGGCTGGCCTTCCCCTCTGCTCCCCGCTGCCTCCCCAGGTCCCCACTTTGCTGCTGGGTCTGGCTGGGCAGTAGCTGTGCCAGCTCCTAAGGGTCATGCCTTTCCTACAGCCATATCTGGGGTGTGGTGGCTTTGCGGTCACCTCTCTAGGGGTAGGGAGGGTACCTCACCACCCTCCATTGGTTTCCCCTAAGGTTGCCCCAATTACTCAAGAGTCTCTTCATCACACTCTACACAGTGACCCCACTGGAATGGGCTCTTTCCCGCTGGGGCCCGGGCTGAAAACCTCCTGTTGGGGAACATGCCTTCCCAGAATCACGGCAGGGCCGGGTCCCAGTTCTCACTGCCACTCCCACTGCTCGTTAGCCAGACGACGACAGTCGTCAAGATCATCACGGGAAGAAGCTAGAAGCACCCTGGGCTTTGGGTGGGACACTGCATTCCAAGGATGGACTCTAGGCCACCACTGCCAGGGGAGGGCTCCCCCCATTGCCTCTCCTGGCTGGCTGGGTGCTGTCCTCAAAGGCCCCAAGGAGGGTGGAGGTGGGGAGGCCTCCTCCCCTGCTCTACCCAGAAAAGCTCCACTTTTATCCTGCACAAACCAGACTTCTGCACAAAGGTCTGCCCTTTAAGAGTCCTGCTGCTGCAATGAACATTTTGGTACATGACTCTTTTTGAATTATGGTTTTCTCAGGGTATATGCCCAGTGGTGGGATTGCTGGGTCGTATGCAGCTCTATTTACAATAGCCAGGACATGGAAGCAACCTAAGTGTCCATCAACAGATGAATGGATAAAGAAGATGTGGCACATATATACAATGGAATATTACTCAGCCATAAAAAGGAACAAAATTGAGTTATTTGTAGTGAGGTGGATGGACCTAGAGTCTGTCATACAGAGTGAAGTAAGTCAGAAAGAGAAAAACAAATATCGTATGCAAACACATATATATGGAATCTAAGGGAAAAAAAAGGTCATGAAGAACCTAGGGGTAAGATGGGAATAAAGACACAGATCTACTACAGCATGGACTTGAGGATGTGGGGAGGGGGAAGGGTGAGCTGTGACAAAACGAGAGAGTGGCATGGACATATATACACTACCAAACGTAAAATAGATAGCTAGTGGGAAGCAGCCGCGTAGCACAGGCAGATCAGCTCGGTGCTCTGTCACCACCTAGAGGGGTGGGATAGGGAGGATGGGGGGCAGGGAGACTCAAGAGGGAAGAGATAAGGGAACATATGTATATGTATAACTGATTCACTTTGTTATAAAGCAGAAACTAACACACCATTGTAAAGCAATTATACTCCAATAAAGATGTTAAAAAAAAAAAAAAGTCCTGATGCTGAAGAGATGAAAAACAACCCCGTCACGTGATCAGACGCTGGAGCGCAGCAAGTGGGCGGGAATGGTGCCTCGGCAGCATCGTGGACAGCCATGCTTGAATGAAGGCATCTCAGTCAAAATCTGATTTTACCTTTGGGGAAACTGAGGTCCCACATGGGAGAAGTGAGGTTCATCCTCAGGCGTGAAGCTGGTGCTGCTAAAGGTCAATGTCATCACTGCTTATCAATATGATTCTTCATTGCCAGATTCCGGTTTTCAGAATACAGTAACATGCTGTAGGGATCAGATGATAATAGAAGACATCTGCAGAACATTACTATGTACTAAATAAAAGATTCTTTGGGTTTAAAGTAGCTGCTTCCCGGGTCCCAACCCAGAGAGACAAAAAGGGAAATCAGCTCTGTACTCAGATGGGTTCCTTTTTCCTTTAAGAGTGAATTGAGGCATCAAACCTAAATATAAAAGCTAAAACCATACAACTCTTAGAAGAAAACACAGGGGCAAACCTTCATGACTTTGAATTTGGCAGTGGTTTCTTACATATGACACCAAAAGCACAGGTGGCAAAATAAAAAATAAATTGGACTTCATTAAAATTAACTTTTGGGGATGTGGGGAGGGAAGGATTGGGAGTTTGGGATTAACAGATGCAAACTTGTATATACAGGATGGATAAACAACAAGGTCCTATTGTATAGCACAGTGAACTATATTCAATAACCTGTGATAAACCATAATGGAAAAGAATATGAAAAAGAATATATATATATATGTATAACTGAGTCACTTTGCTGGACAGCAGAAATTAACACAACATTGTAAATCAAATATACTTCAATAAAATTTTAAAAATAAATTAAAAAAATAAAACTAAAAAAAATAATTAACTTTTGTGCATTAAAGGACTTAGGAAGAGATTGAAAAAGCCCACAGAATGGGAGAAAATATTTGCAAATCACATATTTGATAAGGGCCCAGTATGTAAAATATATAAAGAACTCTTACAGCTCAAGGACAGAAAGACAAACAACCCAATTTAAAAATGGGCAAAGGACTTGACATTTTTCCAAAGATATGCAAATCACCAACAAGCACATGAAAAGATGGTCAACATCATCAGTCATCAGGGGAATCTAAATAAAAACCATAATGAGATACCACTTCCCACCCACTAGGACGCCCATAGTTGTTTTTTTTTTTTTTTTGCGGTACGCGGGCCTCTCACTGTTGTGGCCTCTCCCGTTGCAGAGCACAGGCTCCGGACACGCAGGCCATGGCTCACGGGCCCAGCCACTCCGCGGCAAGTGGGATCTTCCCGGACCGGGGCACGAACCCGCGTCCCCTGCATCAGCAGGCGGACTTTCAACCACTGCGCCACCAGCGAAGCCCCACCTATAGTTTTTTTAAAAAAGGAAAATAACAAGTGTTGGTGATGATATGGAGAAATTTGAACACTTGTGAATTGCTGGTGAGAATGTGAAATGATTCAGCCGCTGTGGAAACAGTTTGGTGATTCCTCAAAGAACTAAACAGAGAATTACCAAATGGCCCAGCAATTCCATTCCTAGGTAAATACCCAAAAGAATTGAAAACAAATATATGCACATATATGTTCACAGAAGCACGATTCACAATAGTCAAAAGGTGGGAACAACCCAAATGTCCATCAATGGATGAATGGATAAAGAAACTATGGTCCATCCATTCAAAGGACGATCATTTGGCCATAAAAAGGAATGAAGTGCTGATACATGTTACAATGTGGATGAACTTTGAAACCATGCTAAATGAAAGAAGTTAGGCACAAAAGGTCATATATTGTATGATTCTATTCATATGAAATCCCTAGAAGAGGTAAAACTATAAAGACAAAGAGCAGATTGGTGATTGCCAAGGGCTGGGGGAGAAACTGTTTCATGGGTTGTAGGTTTCCTTTTGAGCTGATGAAAATGTTTTGCAACTAGATAGAGGTGGTAGGCAGTCGCATGACATTGTGAATATACTAAATGTCACTGAGTTATTCACTTAAAATGGTTAATTTTATGTTACTTTTTTATCAATTAAAAAAATAGTGAATTAGGGACCTGGGGGTGGAGATGGGGTGATGGCAGATGCCAGGAAGAAAGTCCCCCAGGCAGTTTCTCCCTCCAGACCCAGAGGCCATCTCCAAGCTTGAGAAGGGCACAAAGGACTCTTAGAATCCATCCATCCCATTTTATAGATGGGAAAGACAAGCCCAGAGAGGACAGGGACTTGCTCAAGGCCATGAAATGCATGGAAAACCACACAAGAATTAGAGGTAAGGCTTTAGAACTCAAAGCTGCCACCACACCAAGGTGCCATGGTGGGCTGGAGGGGGCCCACAGCCATCATCAAGGGAGGGAAGTCCAAGTTCGTATTTCTGTCCTGAGTTTGTGAACGGGACAAAGTCATCAACCAATTGTTATCCAGGCTCATCCATGCCCAAGGCTTCGGATGAGCCCACCCAGGGCCTTACTCCTTGATCATCAGCCCCCTCCACGGTGCAGTTACAGCTTTAAGAGGAAAACTCATTAGCCAGCTGTTCTATTTCTGCCCAGAGCCTGCATCCCTGGGCTGAGGTCATCAGTTTCCCCACGAGGGCAATGGGAGGAAAGCAAATGTCCTAGAATCAAGGCATTCACTGATCCCCCCTAAGGGACCCGGGAGTGTTCAGTCAAGCCCTGGAAGGTGAGGCCAGCTGAGCCACTGGAGACCTGGGAGGTTCTTTTCTTTTTTAAGTTTTGCTGGCTCAGACCTGTTGGGCAGGTATAAAAGGGAATGGCCAGCCTCTGCTGGGCACCCAGTCTCTTCCAGTGTGGTCTCAGGTAGGTACCATAGAGGATGCTGGGGGAGATGGGAAACGGGGAGGGGGTGCCGTGGAGAAGCCTCCAGAGGAAAAGAGATGTAATGGTGAGAGATTTGCAAAGCGGACTAGGGGGTGGGCATTTCTTGAGGGGCTGCAGAGTGGGCACATCATTCAATGCTCCAAGGGATCTGGATCTACGGGGCAGGAGAGAGCTGCCTCGTTCCACGGAGAGACGGGATTTGAACCCAGATCAACCCCACTTCACTGCACCACCCGCCTCCCCCCAGGGGATTGAAGGGATGCTAGAGTCACGCTGGGTTCAATCCCCACCACCCCCTTCCTACACTCTGTAATGCATCTCTCCCCCCTGAGGACCCTTTTAGCTTTTGCATTCCACAAGCTGAATTTTTTCTATGTTTTCTGGTTCATGATTTTGAAAAATGGGTCTTGGTTATCAAAGATGCCTGGAAAAGCAGTTGTCTGGGGGCGGGGGTAGGGGGCAGGAGTGGTTTGGATACAGGGGGCCCTGGAAGGTGGGGTCACAATTGAGCAGGAGGCTGGTGGCCACTGAGAGGGGTGGGACCTAGTGTCAGTGGCCTGCACAGCCCTCAGGCAGTGCCTGGTCCCAGGGGTCTGTGCCCCAGGCCACCAGGCCAGGGCAACAGCCATCACACCTTAGCCTGTGGTTCACGGCAAAACCACCATTAAAAAAAAAAAAGCAAGCAGCCTAATTGGAATAAACAAAGGAGAATTTCTGGCCCTTCCTCCCTCACTAGGACAATTAAAAAGGAACCCAGCGTTGAGACAGGAGCAGTTGTTCTGTTTTAATGACAAGCCTAATGCATTTTTAAAAATCTGACCTTGCTGATACTCACATTTTCTTTTCATGTGGATTTTGGTCTCATGTCCCTGGTGACTTCCATCTATGTCAAACAGAACCACAAAAATGAGACCACAAAAAGGCAATGTTTTGGTGTCATCAGGGACAACAAATGGCAAGAGGAAGTTTATGTCGCGCAGTCATATCTTCCAGAAAGGGGGTGGGGGACAACGAGACCACTGAGCTGCCCACGGTGACTTGTGGCAGAGCTGAGTGAGAGCCTGGTCCCCTGGATGCTGGACAAATACTGTCCAAAGCTACCAGCAGAAACGAAGGACTCCCAGCCCCGTGCTCCCCAGAGACGGGACTCAGGAGGGATCAGGCAGGGTTCCTACCCTGGGCTGGGGGGTCTCCAGTGGTAAAACAATTGCATCGTGATGTTCACTACCCTTAACTGAAATGTGTCATTTCCTCCCCTTTTTAACACAGTCGTATTAGCAATACCTGTGACTGTCAGCAACGGAAGTCACCGATATTTTCATATCATATTACAATTGTTGCAGAGAGGTCAAAAGATTGTTAATTCTCACAGTTGCTTCAAAACTAAAGTGGTTATTAGACCTGCCGTTAGGAAGCACACCTAGTGCTGTATCATGCATGTTTAATATTGTGTTAATTACATTTCAATGTCATTTGTTTCCTTGGTGATCATATACAGTTTATTACCTGAATTTAAAATTTTGTCCAGTGAGACCACAGACATCACCAGATGGACAAAAAGGTCAGTGGCCCATGAAGGCACAGGACCCCTACCCCCCCACCCCCCCCATACCCCTCTCTCATTCTTATTTTCTGCAAAATGGACCAGCTTTGGGGGTGGGGAACCCAGGCTCCAATCAGAACTCTAAGCTGGACCCCACAGCGAGATGAGAAGAGGAGAAAGTGTCTGGCTTTGCCTCCATTGCTTGCCTGTCCTGGCTCAGCCTCTTTTGGAAACACCAGGACCCCTGGCAGGAAACGCTGGAGCTCCCCAGAGGATACCTTGGTATAGGTATAGGTATAGGTCTAGGTTGTGAGATGCTCCATCCCCAGCTGGATTACTTAAAGGTGGAGGCTGTACCCTTGGCTTGAGAACAGCATTGCTGACAATGGGGCTCAGAACCACATCCTCCCCAAACCTCCAAGAAGTTTCTTCACCCCCAAGAAGTTTCTTCACCCCCAAGACAAACTGCGACGCCCCTGACTTCTCTCTTTGCTACTGAAAGTCCCCAGTCCTCCTCCTTCCTAGTTTGTCTGCATTTGGAAAGCAAGAGGTCCAGCCTTGATCCCAGGCTGGCCTCATCTTAAGAGAGGTAACCATTGAACCAGGGGCAATTATTCTGTACCAGGGACTCGCTTAGCATCTGGTAAAGCCTGTGGACCTCTGCTCAGATTAGAGTTTTTAAATGCATAAAATAAACTACATAGGGTCACAAAGGAAACCAATGGTATTAAAATCCAGTTATCAAAATATTACAAAATCAGTTTGTGATATAGCAATTAAAAGTGTACTTTTTTGTTAGTAGATTTAAATAACAACTTCTAACCGAGGGTCTCATAAGACCATCACTTCAAAGTTGAGACGAGGGTAAGTCATATTTGGAGATGCCTGCTGCAATGAAAGGAGAATAGCTGTGATTTCTGTTGGAGACAAGCCACAGCAGTGCTGGTACTACGGTGGCTTGTGGCCTCTGCTCAGACCTTAAGGGAAAGTGAAAACCAAGTGGTAATCCTTTTCTCGTCCCAGTTCATGGTTAAAAGTGCATGCTTTAACCTCTCTTGGCCTTCGTCTTCTCCTCCATAAAATGGACCCCCTGATCCCTACCTCACAGCCTTAGTGTGACGGGCATATGGGAGCACAGATGCAGAAGTGTTCTGTGGTGGCTAGGGGTACACAACTCTGAGGAGTTATCAGCTTCTTTCTTATTCTTGGTTACTAAGATCTAATAGCAGCAAGACATTCAAAGTGACATGAGAGAAGCAGCCCCATGTCTCTCCCAGGCATTTGCCCCAGGCCATACAACAGTCTTGGCAAACTATCCTCTCTTTCCCCTCCAGCACCCAGGGAAGTCCTGGTTCCCGCCCGTGGATTCCTTCTTGCTCCTCCCTCAGCCCAGCCACAATGCCCAGTGCATCCAGAGGCGAATGCGGGGACGATGTGGACCCAATGCCCTTCCTGACACCTTCTGAAAAGGAGAGAATGGAAGCCATGAGCAAGCCCTATGACATCAAGAGGTCTTGCTGGGTCAAGGATGAGAAGGAGGGCTTCATTTCTGGGGAGATCCAGTCCGAACAGGGCGACCAGGTCACCGTGAAGACGATCACCAACCAGGTGGGAGGGGAATAATCCCCAGGGTGAAATTGAGCTTTAGGAGCGGTGGACACCCGGGCTCAAGAGGCAAGGTGGCAAAAAGAGCAGATGCCTCCGAGTCCCCTGTGCTGGGTTCAAGTTCAGACTCAATGACACTCAAGCTGTGGGGCCCTAAGCAGGACACTTTCCCTCTCTGAGCTTTGGCTCTCTTACAACAGAGAGTCCAACATGATAGGACATGAAAGTACTTTGTATGCTCTAAAACAGTGCATGTGTGAGATAGATTATCAGGAGAGTTACTTATCTTTAAAGCCCCAAATTATCTTATCTTTAATTCCCCTTTCATGGGGAATCTATCTTCTAAGAATGAGAAGGAACATCCCACCCATCAGGAGTGGCGCTATGTGCCCGTGATGGCATGAGGAATGCGAGACAGGGCTCCGGGACACCCTGGCCAACCTGAGTGAGCTCTCCAGCGTCATGAGCTACAGATGGTGGCACCAGGCCCTTTGCTGCATGGAGGTGGTGTGCTGGGGCTGGCTTGCCCTGGCTTGTAAGGATCTAACGCTAAACATTCGGGGGCTTTGCAACTGGTTGTTAAACCTTTGGCGGCCTGATGTCAGCCATGGTGGAATTGACAAATGGTACAAATCAGGGATTTTTTTTTTTTTTCCCATGCAGCTGGTTTACTAGCACACCACTCTCTGCTGGTCCACAGTGTTCAGCTACAAGGCGTGACTTGAGAGAATGGATAGAAATTTTGGTTCATGAAACCCCTCCCCTGGGGCAGACTCCTGGGGAGGCGCTAGACCTTTTGCTTAACCCTTTCAATAACTTGATATAGTAGGATGTATGGACCCTATTTTGCAGAGGATCAAAGAGATTTTAGGTAATTTGCCTACAGTCACAAAGACAGAAAGTGATGAACTCAGATTCAAAGCTTGCTGTACCTGGCTCCAATGCCCATGACCCCTCTACTGCACCACCTCATCTTCCATGGTGGGCTGCATCCGGGGAGTGTGAAGTCAATCCTTGGTTAATTTCACAAATAAAAGAACGGAGACATTCCATGATCAGAACTTGCAACTGTCTAAGCTTTACTGCGTGCCTCCCCTCCCTTTGAGGGGAGTGGCCACAGAAAGATGAGGCTATAGCTGTGGTAAAGTGGGTTTGAACATGAAAGTCAAGCTTAACTCTCAGGAGAAACATCCTTTTCAGAAAGGCAGGGCACTGCAGTGTTGCCAGGAATGATGGATGATGAGAGTGGAGCCCCAGAGGCCCCAGTTTGGGTGCAATTTAAGGACAACACAACTTCTGTGAGCATCTGCGGTAGACAGGCCATCCAGCCGGGTTTGGGACAGAAAAGACCAGCTGGTCTGGCTCCTGCAATAAAGGCACAGGCTTCCATTTCTCTGCTGGGGCTGTAAGAGAAGAGTTTGCCTGTGGCGAGGACCAGAGATCAGCATCTACCAGAAATGGACTCTGAATGAAACCTAGCCTGACTTACTAGGGGTGTGGTGACCATTACTGGGTGGATTTTCCAGAACTGTCAAGATTTCAAATTATCTGCCTGTTGGACTCATAAATTATTAAAAGTCCCAGAAATCCCAGTAGGTGTTTAAGCCTCACAACTCAGGCTTCAGGCAGCTGAAAGATATTTGTTTTCTGGATCACATGTCTTGAGCTTCGGACCCAGACACTGCCATTTAAGAGCTGGCATGAGTTTTCATTTACAGAGGAAAAATTGGGGTGCAGAGCGGGGATGGGATTTGCCTGCTTGTGCACAGGAGCTCCAGACTCTTAATGCTATATTATTTTCACCTTAAAACATCTACTGCTCATCACTGTTGTCTTTTTTTTTTGGTCTTGTTTGCTTGCTTGCTTGCTTTCAATTTTATACTTCAAGGTGGTTTGGGGGGAGCAGGGGAGTGTCTTTTTATTTTTAATGGGAAAGTTCATTGCTATTTAGAAACCACTACTAATTCTCAAGGCAGAGAGCCAAGAGTCACATCTCTGCAAAGGGTCCCTGGGATCAGTGAGCAAGTTCTGATCAGCTACCAGAATGGACTTGGCTGGAAGAGAAACACAGGTTGGAGGTGCTCTGAATGTAGGGGAGGAACTTCAAGATCTTTTTACTTGATGCCACTTAAGTTCATATAGTCCTCCCAGCAACCAGCCAAGGAAGCCACTGTCATCCCTACTTCAGAGGGGAGGCAGTTAGGGCTCATATGGCCTTGGAAGTTCTGCCCCATCCCAAGTCAATGAGACATAGCTGGACCAGGAGGTGGACTCACTGATTCCAGCTTTTTGCAGGACACCAGAGAGTGGGTAGTACCCTGTGCCCGATGCCACTGTGGCTGTGACAGTACTATGTCTTAATGCATGTGCTGCTGTGTCTTGACCCCCCAGACGCTCACCATGAAGAAGGATGATATCCAGCAGATGAACCCACCCAAATTCTACCAAGCCAGCGACATGGCCAACATGACCTTCCTGAACGAGGCCAGCGTCCTGGACAACCTACGTCAACGCTACGTCAGCATGAGGATCTATGTGAGAGCCAGGGCTGGGCGTGGGGAAGAAGGGGAGGCTGCAGATCTCCTGCCCCTCTCCTGATGGGGAGGGGGCAGCTACTCTACCCTTCCCAGCAACCCATACACATTATGTCTGGGACAAGGGCAGAGTGACCACGCTTTTGACGTGTTAGAATTTCCACCCCCAAGGCTTTGTCATCTCAGTGATGGTACGATCCCCATGGGCAGCTGACACACCCTTTGCTGAGGCTGTCATCCAGAAGTCTTCCTCCTGACCCCACCCCTGCAAACTCTCCAATCAAAACATCATTTTCCCCCTAGTGACTTCATGTGGCCTCAGTAGAGGTCCTTCCCTGTCTGTCCATCCACCCTCCATCCATCCATTCATCTCTCCTTTCCTTCCTTCCTCCATCCCTCCTTTCTCCTTTCCTTCTAGCCAATTCCATCCAACCATTCATTCATTCAACAAACACTGAGCCCTGTGCTAGGATAAGCAAAGCGGGTTACCATCAGTCTCCCTGACCATCTTGGAAATCCTAAGACTTCCCGAAGGTGCTGGTGGCTAAACTCAAAATGGGATATAAGGAGGTTTTGGTGTTTGCCTCTCTAGATGTCTTTACTAAAAAGGAAAGAGGCTATCCGGTAGGACTAGGTGAGCTGGGGTCTGACTTCAAGGTTAGAGGCCGCTGCGGATTTCCTCTTCTGGGTTTTGGTGACAGCCAAGAGGACTGCCACATGCTTCCCCCTCTTGTCCTCCTCAATACTACTTTAGTTCCAGATTCAGACCCTCAGCAGCACCATAGCCCCATGCAGTGCTGAAGGACTGCACTGGAGGCCTGGAGGCTAGTGGGGCGTCACTGAACCTCAGCCTGGGAAGAGCCACATCTGCCCCTGGCTGAGCCTGGAGCTTTGGCTGAGAATGTCCGTGTGGGCTCGATGGCCAAGCTCCGGGCTGGTGCTTGCTCAGGGCCCCCGTGCAGCTGAGCCCTTGCTCCTGTGGGTGGCCACATCATGTCTTTGGGCTAAGGGGCTGCAGGCTCTGTGGAGTGTGGCCTGAGGGACCAGGGCAGGAGTCTCCTCTTAAATCCAAACACCTCAGTTGAACCACTGATTGAAAAACTGGGGCAGGCAGGACAGCTCCAAGGTCCCGACTGCTGCCCTCTCGTGTCCCTCCTGCAAGGGTGGCGGGGGACCTCTCTTTTACATTCTGACCCAAACAGGGACAGAACTAGCTTCTGGTCCACTATCTGCCCCACCCCACCCTGCAGACAGGGCTGGAGGGAAAGAGTGACTCAGTGGCTGGGTCCCAGGATGACACAGTGCATCATCCTCTCAAGTCTTTACGTGAGTTCTCTTCTTCTTCTCTTTGCTCCCCTTTCTTTGGATCACTTTGTATTTAATAAGGTTCCCTTTAAAAACGCAATATATTGCAGCTCTGCTAAGAAGAAACTGGGGGCGGGTATCCCCACTTGGACCAAAATGGAAAGTTTTAAAATTTACATGAAAAGAGGGGGCACCAGAGGTCAATGTGAGTGTCCAGCAGGAGAAGTTTGGGACCCATGGATTTGGCCATTTCCTGCCCTCAAATAATTTCTTTCACTACCTCATTGGTTTCTCTGATTTTTAAAAACTGGGATGATTTCCTTTAAAAATTGCCATGGGGTGAAAAGAGAAATTGGTGTCTCTTCTTAAGAGTAGATCAAACCCAGTTGTCCACCAGTTGGATTGTGTCCACATAGTAAGGACTCCATGAACTCTCATGGAAAATCTCCCCCATCTAGTAAGTGGAAAAAGCAAGATATAAAACAGTATCATATATCACTTATATGTGGAACCTAAAATACGACACAAATGAACATACCTATGGAACAGAAACAGATTCACAAACAGAACAGACTTGTGGTTGCCAAGGGGGAGAGGGGGAGGGGAGGGAAGGATTGGGAGTTTGGGATGAGCAGATGCAAATTAATATACATAGGATGGATAAACAACAAGGTCCTACTGTATAGCACAGGGAACTATATTCAATATCCTGTGGTAAACCATAATGGAAAAGGATATGAAAAAGAATATACATATATATATGTATAACTGAATCACTTTGCTGTACAGCATAAATTAACACAACATTGTAAATTAACTATACTTCAAAAAACTTTTTAATTAAAAAAATAAAAATAAATCAGCATCATAGAATACTATTGCTTGTTTTAAAAACAGGTGAGGGGATACGAACGTGTCTCTGGATTTGTTTGTACATGTGCATCAAAAACCGTGGAAAGGGGTATTAGAAACCAACACAGAGCTTCCCTGTGGGAGGAGGGGGCGGTCACTGAGCAGCTGGGGGACTTTTTGCTGCGTATTTATCCATACAAATGACTATGTTATGGATTCAGGTAATTAAGCCAAAAGAAAATGAAAGAGGTATATATTAAAGAGAAGGCTGGTTTTGTTTACTGAATAAAGACTCAGATACAGATTTTGCACAGGAGCTGTACCTCTCTGTACCTCTCTGTACATCACTGTACTTCTCTAGGTTGACAGGATGATCCAGCCAGGATGCTCTGTGATGGGCCAGGATACGGAGGGAAGAGGGCATCAGGAGGGAGGGCCAGCTAACCATCTTCCTTCTCTCCCGCCAGACCTACTCAGGCTTGTTCTGCGTGACAGTCAACCCCTACCGGTGGCTGCCCATCTACGGGGCCCGCGTGGCCAACATGTACAGAGGCAAGAAGCGTACGGAGATGCCGCCCCACCTCTTCTCCATTTCAGACGTCGCCTACCACGACATGCTCATGGGTGCGTGCAATGGGGTCCGCTGGGGCTGTCATGGCAGGGCAAGAAAAGTCCCTTTGCCATTGGGGCTCCAGGTGTATTAGACCCACGTGCTACCCAATCCCAACCCTGACCCCTCATCACCCGTTGAAGATTTTTTAAATATTGCTCGGTGAATGCGCTTGCTAAGTACCTGCCCTACCTCACACCCCATCTCATTTAAGCATCACAAAAACATGGGATGCCAAGCTAAATAACGTCCAGAACTCAAATCAACCCTTAACCATTCCCTGTGCAATCTTCACCATACAGTACAACGTGATTTTTATTACTATTTCTCTTTATGTTGCTTACGACTAGGCAGCTTCATGGGACGGTGCTTATAGAAACAGAGTGGCTGGTAAATTTTTGGCCCCTTCTGCAAGGATGTGGGCTGCAGAGGCAGGCGTGTAGCCTCAGACCCCATGGGATCCTAGGTCTTCAGTGTCTGTGGGCCACTGCAGCCATTCTCCAAGCCGGGTGGGATGCAGGGAGATGCAGACGGTGTGGTTAGGGTGATGCCAAATGTCGAGTTTCTAAGTGTTTTCTAATGACATCGTCCTGTTGACGGTTCCCTCCCTACAGAGCGTGAAAATCAGTCTATGCTAATCACGTAAGTGTCCCTCCTGCCTCTCAGTCTATAGACAAATAATTAGGTTTGTGTCTTACACATGTCATTAAGCCTTCTTAGAATTAATTGGCGGGACTTTGTATGGAAATCTGCAGGCAGAGAGCGAGTGGGCTTAGCGGGGACGACTAAGGCTGCAGCTGCTAAACCGAGTGTGGGGGGGTGGGGGCCTCCATGTCCCCAAGTCCCCTTCTGCCCTACCCTGTCTGTCCCTGATGGGTAAGATGTGATGATGCCCAGCCCATACCTTTCATCGTGTTGCTTCCCTGCGGGCAATCTCCTCTTTGTCCTTCACTCATCTGCTCTCGTTTTCCACCTGCAGTGGAGAATCTGGTGCAGGCAAGACTGAGAACACGAAGAAGGTCATCCAGTACTTTGCCAACATCGGAGGAACTGGCAAACAGTCCTCGGATGGGAAGGTAGGGCCGACTGGGCACAGCTGCTCTCTGGGTTAGGGCCGCTTTACAGATGAGGAGACGAAGGCTTAGAGGGAAGCAACTTGGGTGGGGACCCATAGGGAGAAGATGGCTGCAGTCCCAGATCTGACCCACTGGATGGACTCTGATACCCCAGGCCACATCTGCCCCCAGAAGTGTCAATGCTAGAGCTCCTTGTGCTTAGCGGGGTAGAAAGGGGAATGCCAGCTCCTGGTTAAGCTGCTTCTGCAGGCCCTGGCAGCCCCAGAGCACAGGGAGCACTAGCTGGGACAGCAGCAGCTGTAAAAAGCTGACAAAAGGGGTTTCCCTGGTGGCGCAGTGGTTGCGAGTTCGCCTGCCAATGCAGGGGACACGGGTTCGTGCCCCGGTCCGGGAGGATCCCACATGCCGCGGAGCGGCTGGGCCCATGAGCCACGGCCGCTGAGCCTGCGCGTCCAGAGCCTGTGATCCACAATGGGAGAGGCCCTCGTACCGCAAAAAAAAAAAAAAAAAAAAAAAAAAAGCTGACAAAGAGGAAAGGAAGACTTCGGTGGAAGACCAGGGATGCCCAAGGAAGGGTTTTCAGGTTCACATAGGAATCTCTCCACCAAGAGCAAAAGGAAGAAATAGCAGCTAAGAGTCAAAGCCTCTCATCTGGCAGGGGCCCTCCAATGTCAGGGTCTGCAGGGAGACAGTCCTTACTTAGGCCGTGGCCCTCCTCCCAGGTCTCCTCTAGTCCCGCTCTCCCTGCCTCCCCAAGGCTGTGCCCCTCCTGGGTTCCTGGCACATATACCACTGTCATGTGAAAGCCCTGGGTCCCCAGGCAGCAGCCGACAGGCCACCCCACCTTGTGTTTCTCTCTGGCTCAGGGGTCCCTGGAGGATCAAATCATCCAGGCAAACCCTGTTCTGGAGGCATTTGGGAACGCCAAGACCACCAGAAACAACAACTCCTCCCGTTTCGTAAGTGTGACAGTGGCAGTGGTGGCCCTGGGGGTGGCAGGACAGGCATTATCACCCCATTCCAAGGAAGGAAATCAGGGCTGATTGAAACTCACCAATGGGATGAGTCAAGTCATGGCATCTCCTTCCCAGAGATTTTTATCCGTCAGGGTCTATATCAACTAGAGTCCAGTTCAGTATTGAAATCCAGGTGCTTGAATGCAGAGATGCGGGTACACAGTGATGGAGGGGCTGAGAAATTAAAACAGGAGAGCCAGAGATTTGCAGTGGCTGGAAGCTGACAACGTCCCGCCCCCGACCAGGGGGACCATGGCTGGCAGGATGTAGGAGAGGCGCTGTCTCCGGGGCCCTGGTGGATTCTGAAGCTGGTCTGGTGGGAGCTGGGGTCATAGAAGGAGCTCTGTAGTGCCCTGACTTTCCCTGCTGAACCCCCATCTCCGGCTGGGGCCTCTCACTGCCTGGGGAAACAGGGCTGGGCAGGGAGGAGGTGGGGGCAGGTGAGTAGAGGTGAGGGCAAAAGTTGATGGAGATACAGAGAGTCCTATTTCCAGGAGAGTTTGTCCTTGGTTCTGCCAAAGGTCAGGGAGAGGGATGTGGTGTCTCTCCATAAGGAGACGTGGTACAGCGCCCCCTATATGTGGCTGGTCAAATTCCCACCAGTCCTGCCTCAAAGCCGAATTCCAAAGGGCCCCAGCCCCTCCTGTGGGGCACTCGTCTGCCCCACAAGGTCCCAAAGCCGCAGGCTACCCCCAGACCCTAGATTTAGCTCCAACACCCTCCTTCTCTGCCCATCCAAGTGGGAAACCCACAACTCCACATACAGCCGCCTCTGGCCCAGTTACCTTCCTGCAGCGCCCTTAGAATTCGGGGGGCGGGGCGGCCAAACCCGGGTCGCAGGTTGGTCTAGAGCTCCCTCACGACCCTCCCCTCTCCTCCCTGCTCAGGGAAAGTTCATCCGGATCCACTTCGGAACTACAGGCAAGCTGGCCGGAGCTGACATCGAGAGCTGTGAGTCAGGCTGCTTTGGGAGGGTTCTTGGGGCTGGGACCAGCTACACAGTGCGTGGGGTACAGCACACAATGAAAGCGCGGGGCTCCTTGTTCAAAAAGTGTTAAGAATTTCAAAACAGCAGCAGAGGGACTCAGTGTGGGGTCCTTCTGAACACAACCTGCCACACCCAGGAGGCCGGCCCTGCCCCCGGGTTCCCCCCCATCAGGAGCCAGCCCCCCGCCCCCGCCCCGCCCAGGCCGTGGGTCTGGGGCAGAAGAAGAGTGGACCCATGACTGGCCATGGCACTGGGCTTTATGGGGAGGGGAGCCCTGCTTTTCATGGAGCCCTGAACTCCAGGAGAATGGGCTGAACTCATGGGCATGTCTTATTCTTTTCCAGATCTCCTAGAGAAATCTCGTGTCATCTCACAGCAAGCAGCTGAGAGGGGCTACCACATTTTCTACCAGATTCTCTCTAACAAGAAGCCTGAGCTTGTCGGTAAAGATCTTTATGTCTGTCTGACTGTCCCTTAACTCGCTTTTCCTCTATTTTCAATAACGAAAGAATTCCCATGTATGGAGGGTTTGGTGTCATACCTGCAGTTCTACATGAATCCCTTTAGTTTAGAGTTATGTGAAGAGGTTATAGGGAAGTTTCTCAAAGTCCTACTCACATCCATCTTCACAACAGACTATGAGGCTTCACACTATTGTTGGCCCATTTCACAGATGGGGCCTTGAGATGCCTGCAACTCATGGCTGAGACATGGACCTGGGATATAGGGCTTTAGACCCCCCACGTCTTGCTCGGACAGCAGCAGAGATGTCAGCCCAGGACGACTGCATGTAACAGGCTCCCCTCTGAGTGGACGTAGCCCACTGAGTACACAGCTTGGAAAGCACACTGCACTCACCCCCTCAGCTTGATGCCCTTGTGCAAGCAACAACCTGTTCAACTGTCCATGGCAGACCTGCTCAGGATCTAAGGTCCAGAGAGGGATGAAGACTCAATCTTCCACATATACACCTCCTAACCTAGCCAGAGACTAAGGCATTGAGTATCATCCCCCACCCATTTCTTGCATCCATGTCTCTTCCAAGAGTGAAAAAACAAACATAGACCAAGAGGGGCACGTATTTGAAGAAAAATAGAAGTGAGCATATTTCTTTGTAAAAGTGACAACATCCCATGCATATTATATGCAAGTGATTATTATTGCCTGCTGCAATTGTCCTGTTACCTTCTGCCTTTGAGTGCGACCTGCTCTTTACAGGACAGAGACAGGAGAAAGATATGCACTCGTTTATTCCAAAAATATCTACTGGTTGCCTACTAGGTGCCAGGTACTGGGCCAAGTGACAAAGGGCACAACCAAGTTCCAGAGACCCTCTTGCCACTCTAAAGTTCTTCATATACCCTGTTCAAGTCCCTCCATGACTCTGGGTGATCCCAGAGGGCAGGGACCATGTTGTATTCAGCCCTGTAACCCCCATGATGACACCACCATGCCTCGCACGTGGGAGGCATGTAGAGATATGGGTTAAAAATGAAGAAGAAGAAAACCACGTGTCACCAAGCTGCTAACCTGCTTTCCTGTTCTTGGCAGAGAGTCTTCTGCTGGTCCCCAACCCTAAGGAGTACTTCTGGGTGAGCCAGGGTGTCACCACCGTGGATAACATGGACGACGGGGAGGAGCTGCAGGTCACAGACGTGAGTACTCAGCATGGCTGGGGAAAGACAGGGAAACTTTGGGGCCCTGCAGGCACTGCCACCAGTACTGGGTGGGTCGGGGATCGGGGGGGGGGACACTCAGAGCCACCAGGAAGCAGCCTGGATTCTCCCATGGAGATTTCTGGGGTTTGCAGCTGGCATTTTTCCCAAGGCTGTCGTAGCAAGCAGTTTCTCTTTGCAGAGTTGAACTGGAATGTGATAGGGACTTAAGGGGGCCAACTACTCCAAGTGACTTTTCCTCCTCCCCAGCCCAGCTAGATGTGACCCTCTAGTCCCACCAGTTCCCACGGCACCCTCTCTCTCCTTCTTTGTGACATGGAGCACCTGAGAATTCTGTTAGGGATATTGTGTACTCTCTCCTCCCTGACAGCCGAATTGATTCCTGATGCACCTTTGCCTTCCCCTTCTCCTGGTACCTAGCTAGGAGCCTAAACAGTAATAATGATGGGAAGAATAACACTACTTCCTGGTTATTATTATGTGTCAAGCACAGGACTAAACATTTACACATCACTTTGGTTTATCCTAATGATCACCTACCACCACCCATTTTGCAGAAGACTAAACTGAGGCCAGAGAGGTTAAATAAATACAATGACTATCTCATGGAGCATCTGGTCTGGACTCCTTGGAGGAAAACAGTCCTCTCTCTCTCTGGTCAGGGTGTGTCTGACCTCCAGAGTCCACAGCGTGCCGCAGCAGCCCATAGGTGCCACCCCATGGTGGCCTCCACTCTGTGGAACAGGGAGCCAGGAGTCTCTTGGCTTTCTTCTCCCTGTGGCCTTGCAGGTAGCCTTTGGCGTGCTGGGCTTCAGCTCCGAGGAGAAGATCGGCGTGTATAAGCTGACTGGGGGCATCATGCACTTTGGCAACATGAAGTTCAAGCAGAAGCCCAGAGAGGAGCAGGCTGAAGTGGACACCACAGAGGGTAGGTGTGGGGCGGGGGCCATGCAGGGAGGAAGCAGCGGCGGGGGTAGGGGCTCGGGGCTCTCTAGGGCTTCCTGCACATTTCAGAGACACGCTGTAAACCGAGAATGTTCCTTTGATATCCAGACATCAAGATCCTTGGGAAGGCATGACAGAGTCGGAGACATAATTTTGGCTTCTATATTGCTTTGCCCCTTCACCTTGAGCAAGCGTGGAAACCGTATCACACCTCTGTTTTCTTTTTTTTCCCCTCATTCTTAAATTGTTTTAATTGAAGTATAGTTGATGTATAATATTATATAAGTGACAGGTGTACAATATAGTGCTTCACAATTTTTACAGGTTATACTCCATTTATAGTTATTATAAGATATTGGCTATACTCCCTGTGTTGTCCAATATACCCTTGTAGCTTATTTTATACCTAATAGTTTGTACCTGTTACTCCCCTACCCCATCTTTCCCCTCCCCCGCTTCCCTCTCTCCACTGGTAGCCACCAGTTTGTTCTCTATATCTGTGAGTCTGCTTCTTTTTGGTGATATTCACTAGTTTGTTGTATTTTTTAGATTCCACATAATAAGTGATATCATACAGTACGTGTCCTTATCTGTCTGACTTATTGTACCTACCATAATGATCACCAAGTCCAGCCATGTTGCTGCAGATGCCAAAATTTTGTTCTTTTTATGGCTGCAGAGTATTCCACGGTATATCTATGGCACAGCTTCAGACCTCTGTTTTCTTGTTGGCAACATGGGGGTCTCCTCCCCCTCCCCCCAACCCCTTCTCTAAACACGATAGACAGTGCTGGAGTTCTCTGGGGCAGGGCACCATCTTTGTTTCACTCACCTGCTTCTTCCATCCCTACTCAGTGGCCGACAAAGTCGCCCATCTCATGGGTCTCAATTCTGGGGAGCTCCAGAAGGGCATCACCAGGCCCCGGGTCAAAGTAGGCAACGAGTTTGTGCAGAAGGGCCAGAACATGGAACAGTGCCAGAACTCCATCGGGGCCCTGGGCAAGGCCATCTATGACAAGATGTTCAAGTGGCTGGTGGTCAGGATCAACAAGACCTTGGACACCAAGATGCAAAGGCAGTTCTTCATCGGGGTGCTGGACATTGCCGGCTTCGAGATCTTTGAGGTGTGTCTGGCCTCGCATTCGTCTCTGCTTTGGGGTGGCCACCCTCCTTTGATAAGTGACTTTTCACCAAGGTTCTCTTGTTTCCTTGGACCTGGGGCCGGCTGATCTCAGTCTGCTCCTGGCTCTCTGGCTTCTGGCTTTCGGAAAGTTCCATCTTCATTTGTACGGTGCCAAGTCACAAAGAACAGGGAGAACATAACAGATAGAATGAGCGCCGTGCTGGCTGGATCCAGCCTGTACTGGCTCACCAGAACTGACTGGTGAATTTTCAAGAACTCTGTGACCAGTTGCCATCCTGTTGACACATGTCCGAGGTGTATTTACACCATGGAGATCAGCCCACACTACAAATCAGGCTTTATTTTTGAGAGAGAGAGAGCTGATTTATCAGCACACTACTGGTGGCTCCCACCTCTTGCCCACAAAAATGAGGCTCAGGCCTCATCATAAGATGAGTGCCATGGGTCAGGAAGATTTTACCTTTGTAATTGGAGGCAGCATGATTAGGAGTCGGGAGACCTAGTTCTGGACTCGGGTTGGCCACCAACTAGCTGTGTGGCCTTCGGACAGTGGCCCTCTCTGGGCCTCAGTTGTCTCAACTCTAAAATGAGCAGTCTGGAAGAGATGACCTCTAAGGTCCATTTCAGCTCCACTGTCTTATTATTCTAAGATTTCTACTAGCCACAGATGGGTTAAAAAAAATAGTTTAGCCCAATTTCTCTCAGGCTCTAAAAGGCTAATGTGGCTGCTGTCTATAGTAGAACCATTTAATTCCATAGGTGGAAAGAACCTTAGAGAGAGTTTCCAAACCACGCCGCCTGGACTTCTGGGCAGCCGCTGATGGCCAGCAGGGTGAGGCCAGGGAGTGAGGATGACACCTGTGTCAACAGCAGGGCAGGTGCAATAGACAAATGGGGCTGGAATCCCAGCTCCTCCACTTCCAAGCTGTGTGCCTCTGTGTCCCCATCTTTGATGAGGACACTCATCATTCTTGCCTTGTAAGGGTTTTGAGCAGATGCAGCTTAGCCAGGGTCTGACACACGTACTTGCTCCATGCAGGTTGCTCTGTGATGACAATGGCACCTCTCCTTTGACCTGTTTTTCATATGAGGCTTCAGCAGGGGGTTTCATTCAGAGAAAGCAGTCTCTGGTTTAAAAAAAATAAAAAGGCTTATAAACCCCTCAAACAGCTTCATCCTCCAGATGAGGATGAGAAAAACCAGAGAGAGAGAGAACTGTCTAAAGGCACACAGGAGGTCAGAGCAATAAAGCATCTCAAATGATCCATCTCTAGAAATAAAATGATGTTCATTAACCACACGGGGCCAGAGTCTGAGTTTTGGGTGCTGGCAGCAGCATTGGGTGGCCCGGGTTCTGTGCCTTTGCAGGGGAGGGTAGCTGAGAAGGGCTTCTTGCAGGGCCAATGGGAGCACTGACCGGGTGGTGGGTGCATCCGGGGAAATGCCAGACACTGGTCGGCCCTCAGCAAGCTTTAGCTCTGCTTGTGGATCAGCTTTCAATCCGGGGAGAGGCTGTGTCTGCGTCCGGGCTAATGTGCCTCTTTCTGTCTTCCTGCCACAGTTCAACAGCTTCGAACAGCTGTGCATTAATTTCACCAACGAGAAGTTGCAGCAGTTCTTCAACCACCACATGTTCGTGCTGGAGCAGGAGGAGTATAAGAAGGAGGGCATCGACTGGGTCTTCATCGACTTTGGCCTTGACCTGCAGGCCTGCATCGACCTCCTGGAAAAGGTACCACACTTCTCAAAGGAGGGGCTTGGAGAGAGGTCGGGACCCTGGGGCACATCTCAGGAAGGGATTTCACTGGGGCCTGTGGTTTCGGGGGAGTCAGCAACATGGCAGATGACCTCAGTTTATCTGACCCCAAGCTTCCTCTCTGCAGAATGGGTACAACAGTCACTGCAATGGCCACTGTTAGTTCGGCTGTTTTATGCCTTCACTCATTGGATCATCACAAGCTACCAATGGTGGGGAGGAATTTATTATAACCATTTCACAGAATTTATTATAAACATTTCACATTGAGGCACAGAAAAAGGAAGTCACCTATCCAAGGTCATCCATCCTATGAGTGGCAGAGTTGGGTTTTAACCAAGGCCATCTAATAGCCTCCCCTGTAATCACACCATAGGGAATGTTTTAACAAATGACCTCATTCAGGAATATATAGGATTAGAAAATGCAAATTATTATATATATAATGGATAAACAACAAGGTCCTACTGTATAACACAGAGAACTATCTTCAATATCTTGTGATAAACCATAATGGAAAAGAATATGAAAAAGAATGTATATATATATATGTATAACTGAATCACTTTGCTGTACAGCAGAAATCAACACAAAATTGTAAATCAACTACACTTCAATGAAATAAATCTTTTACAAAAATTTAAAAGAAAAGAAAAAATAATATATACTGTTTGATTAAATGCAGAAAAGGGATAGAAAAAGGACATTAACAAGACAGGTGACAAAATTTGAACAAAGTCCGCACAGACTTCGATTTCTTAGTTTGATTTCGTAGTTTTCATCATTATGTACAGAGGTTATGGTAACATTTGGAGAAGTTGGATGAAGGATATACAGGAATGCTTTGCACCATTTTTGCAAGCCTGAAATTATTTCAAAGTAAAAAGTTAAAAAATAAAGAAAGAACATACCTTGTCTCCAAGGTTCACCCTCAGGCCCGTCATAGAGAAGCTATCATCCAGGCAGCCAGGGGTCTTCGATAGGGACCAGCCTTACCTCCCTGGAAAAGTCTCCAAAACAGGCAGTGGACTGCCTGTCCCGCAATACCTACAAATACCTGCCCGTCCAGCTGTCACAGAGCCTGAAACGCCCTCATGCTGGAGCTTTGGGATCAAGCGTTGCTTTCTTCCAGGAGTCTGCTTTAGAAGAGAAGACGGGTGTCATTGATGATGTCACCATTTTTCTGAGAGCCAAGCCTGCCTGGCACCACTATTTGGGTGGGATTAGCATTTGGGGAGCTATGTAGCCCCCTCAGAGACGTCAGTCTTCCCTTCTCTTGGACCTGATGAATTCTAGCCTCTTTCAAGTCTAAAAGGTTGTGGCATTCGAAGGCCATGGAAGACTAGACCATTCCCAGAGGTCACTGCCCAGAGTTCTGCAACCTGGCCGGCCATGTGGGGTCTGGGGCACCCCTCCCACCAGCCCCAGGCCAGCACCAGAGTCACCCCATTGGCCCCCTCCAATGCCATCCACTCCTCTTCCCTTCTAGCCCATGGGCATCTTCTCCATCTTGGAGGAACAGTGTGTCTTCCCCAAGGCCACCGATGCCACATTCAAGGCAGCCCTGTACGACAACCACCTGGGCAAGTCCAGCAACTTCCTCAAGCCCAAGGGGAGCAAGGGCAAGGGGCCCGAGGCCCACTTCGAGCTTGTCCACTATGCAGGCACCGTGAGTACCTCCTCGGCACCCTCTGTGTCCACCTGCCTGTTGCCTCCATCTCCCACAAATGTAGGTCTGTCCTGCCACACCCTCGCTGAGGCCTCCTCCCTCCCCCTAATGCAGCCACCATTGAACAGGGTGATCAGTTGATCGAAAAGACCTCTGGCTTGTACTTCCTCCTCACTTCTCCCTCTGGGAGTTCCAAAGCAATCTAGCCAAGGATGCCCAGCAGTTCATGCCCTCAGACCCGCCAGGGCCATGCCATTGTCTATGGCCCTTCGTTTGACGGCTGAACTTCGATCTTGGTCAGAAATGGCGATGTTTGCAGGGAATTCCCTGGCGGTCCAGTGGTTAGGACTCCGTGCTTCTACTGCAGGGTGCACGGGTTCAACCCCTGGTTGGGGGACCTAAGATCTCACATGCCACGCAGCAAGGCCAAAAAAAAAAACCAGACAAAACTTGCAAAAAGAAGGAAAAAAAGTCCATGAGTCCATCAATTATTCCCCAGTTGACTCATTCATCCCTCTGACAGCACGTGGCCACCAAACTAACAAGGTGACATTTACGGAGTGGCTTTTTCACTCATGACAAACCTAGTCCTTGGGGAAGAGGGAAATTAAGTGCAGCCAGGACTCAGGTTTATTTGAATAATTGATGGGGGAAACAATCAGTGTTGCCATCAATGCCAATGCCTCCTGTTACCAAGGAGTTTGTTGAGCCTCTCTGGGTTTTGCTGTGGGGAAATGGCAGGCTTAGGACAGAGCTGTCAGGAAAGCTGCTGTTGGACTGGGCATTGGGGCTTTTATGATCTCAACAACCATGATAATGCCAACTACTGGCCAAATGGACTGTGCCACTACCCAGAGCAAACGGGCTTGGGGCTGAATTGCAGTGTTCCACCCCACCCTCCACGATGGAATGAGAAGGGCTCGGTGTTTGTAGCAATGGGACATCCAAAGTCAAATGGGGCCTATGCACTTCCAAGAAGGCTCTAAGATGAGGCCCAGAGGTTACGAATGTCATACACCACGCAGGAGAAGGAAAGCCCAAAGGTTTTGTCTTCTCATCTGCATCCCTAGGCTCTCCGTGCTCAACGGAAGGATCTGAAAGGCACCTTCCTCTTTGCCTCTCCAGCTGGGGCTACATGGCAAAATGGGAACCAGAAATTAGTGGATGTCCAATTACTTGGACACAGGAAGCCCCCAGTTTGGATGGATGGAGCCCAACTCCCACCAAGCAATGGCGGGGGGATGTGTGCTTCTCAGCAAGGAGAGAACAGATGCCCTTGTAGGGAGTTCTTCATGTTGTTTGGGATGCCACTGGTCAAGGTCAATCGCTGAGCTAGGAATAAGGTCAGCCAACCTGGGTAGAAGAAGACCCAGGGGTCAGGGAGGCTCAGTATGGCCAGCAAAGCAAGACATGTAAAAGAAGGTCACACCTGGCAAAGAGTAGCTGGGGAGTCCTGGTGTGTGGGTAAGCTCAGAGACAGGGTGCCCTAGACAGGCAAACTGCAAATGCCCAAGAGATGGGGGTTCATGGACATCCCGGGACTCCAGGCAAGTCATCAGGACAGGAACTGAAGTCCCAGGAGATGGGGCTGAAGGTTGGTCCTGGGAACCCAGAGTAGACAAAGATGTAGGTTGAGGTTCTGGCTGTGGGACCTGAAAGGTGGAACCTGGGCCTGAAATGTAACCACTGGCATTTGCCCCCTTCCAGGTGGGTTACAACATCACGGGCTGGCTGGAGAAGAACAAAGACCCCCTGAATGAAACAGTGGTGGGCTTGTTCCAGAAATCAAACCTGGGGCTCCTAGCCCTTCTCTTCAAAGAAGAGGAGGCTCCAAGTATGGCTGACCCTTCGTGTGTCCAGTCTCTCTGTGCCAATACCCTTTAGCGGCCAGAAGTAGAAAAAAAAGAAAACAAAAACTCTCATATTTGACTATTGTTGAATGAATGAATGAATGAACAAACGAATGAATGAATGAATGACAAGTTGCATGAGATCGGCTATGGATGCTACTGCAATAAAGAGGTACAGATGCATCCTGGGAGCTTCCTCCATCAACCGAATTGATCACTGGGCCCATATCATGTCTAGGTGGAGCGATATTGCTTTGGAAAAGTTGATGCCCAAAAGCTCTGTGCTTATTTTCTGTTCCCTGCTCTCCTGTCTGAGCTAAATGTCAAGCTCAGTTCTGCCTCCTACCCAGTAGAGGTCATGTGACCCATAGGGGAACACCCAACAGGGCCGCCACTTAGAGGGACAAGAACTGCAAATCTCCTTGGGCTCAGAGATGTGTGCACCACCAGCATGCAATTCCTCCAGATCGTGTGGGTTCTTCCTCCTCCCCAGGCAATGGCAGCCTTGTGTTGCCTTGGGCCAGCCCTAAATCACAAAGGGCTACAGACCCTCCAGGAAGCACAGCACGCCTTGTGACTGTTATGCCACAGTCAGCCCGTTCACCCTCTCCCTGGTAGATCTCGTTTGCCTGGTGTGGGGGTCCCACCTCATCTAGTCCCCAGACAAGTCTTTTCAAAACCAGAGAATGCACGTCCTTGACACAGAGCACTGAATGGGGCTGCCAGCCCCTGTGCTGGGTACTGATGTGAAACATGCTTATCTCTCTTCCTCAGCTGGAAGCAAGAAGCAGAAACGAGGGTCCTCCTTCATGACCGTCTCCAACTTCTACAGGGTAAGTAGGGGCTGCTCCAGAGGCCACCTTGTGACCACTGCCCCCAACCATCCCTTCCAATGGTGTAGTGGTCTGGCTGCCACCTCATGGCCCAGGACAAGATGATTTCATTTCTATGCCTATGGTTGCCTCTTTCATTTCAGGGGTCCGTTTCCTTCTGAAGAGGGCGCAGAACCACAGGACCATAGGGCAGAAAAAACCCTTAAAGATGGTCCTGTCTAACTGCGTTTTTTCAGATTGAAACCCAGAGGATGATGGGACGTGCCCAACATAATAAGTGGAAATATCAGTGCCTAAGATCTTGTGCTGGCAGGTCTTCTGGGCTGGGCACAACTTCCACAAAGTTTGGGCACTACTGGAAACATATTCCAAAGGCAGAAATGTAGCCAATGGTGAGATGTTGCACAAAGAATGATTTCAATATTTCCCAAGGATCCGGCTGTCCTGAGGCAGAGTGAGCCACCTCATTGGACGTATCCAAGTGTAAGAGGAGGGATCCTCTAGTAGGGAAGTTAAAAATGGTGAAGGATTTGTCCACACAGGCACTACGGTTCCTTCTAGTAGCAAGATTCTACGATGAGCCAGCACTGAACTCAGAGGGTCCCTCTTTCTGTAAAACATGTCACTTTGGGCAAGTTACTGGACCTTTGAGAGCATCACTATCTGACAGAACTTTCTGCGATGATGGAAATGTTCTCTTCTGTTCAATATGGCAGCCACCGTCCAATATGCTGTCCAGTACGATAGCCACTAGCCACACGTGGTTAGCAAGTACCTGAAAAGTGGCTGGTGTGACCAAAGCACTGAATTGTAATTGTAATTAAATTAATTAAACTCTAAACAAATACCTCTCCTGAGCACGGGTGTCCTGCAACACCAACGCCGAGCTTCGCTCTTTCTTTCCCTCTACCCCCAGGAGCAGTTGAACAAGCTGATGGCCACCCTCCACAGCACCTCCCCCCATTTTGTCCGCTGTATTGTCCCCAATGAGTTCAAGCAATCAGGTACATCATGGGGACACGTCTCCCAGCTGGAAGTCCTCGGGATGTGTGAAGTTGGGGGTCACTCCAAATTAAGTCCACTTTTTAATCACCAGGAATGACTGGGGTAAAACGGGGCATTGAAAGAACCTCCAACAGTGGATCATCTAAACAGCACGTTCTAGCTACTTTGTAAAGCAGAGTGGTGCCCACCTAGGCAGAAGTCACACTCAGGAGAGCCTTTGGGCCTTGGCTGAATTGTGGGGGACCTGGGACACCCTGGGCAGTGACTGGAGGAGATTAGGGTTGAAGACCTGGATATTGAGTTCAGCCTCCTTGAGTGGCAAGGAGTGGCCTAGGGTACCCTAGGGCAGTGACTCCCCACCCTGTGCCCTCCCTCTTGGCAGGTGTGGTGGACGCCCACCTGATCATGCACCAGCTGGCTTGCAATGGAGTCCTGGAAGGCATCCGTATTTGCAGGAAGGGCTTCCCAAACAGGCTGCAGTATCCAGAGTTCAAACAGAGGTGAGTGGTGTCTTCCCGATACCTTGAATACAGTTCTCGGTCTCCAGGGGTTGACTCTTGATAAATGTAGTCCCATTGGAGCAGACACTATGGGTACAGTGATGGACACTATCTCACTGTCTACTTCAGTACACAATGGCCCAACTTTGAATAGCCAGCACCTGCATTTCTTTGCCCGAGGGCTCTCTCTGGCTGCTAGAGCCTGCTTTGCTACTTGGCAGGCTGAAAGTATCAGGAATTAATGCCTCCCCAGGAGCAGCCCTCGACCAATGACTAAGGACACTTGGCATATAAATGCTTCAGCTCCCTCACCCTGATGATGGGCTAACTCTGAGGCATGTTCTATACTGGCTCTCAGACAGCTGTGTGTTGGTAAATGCTTAACAATGGGTCCTCCAAGTTAAATTTTTTTTTTAAAAAAAGAAGCCCTGATTTGTAATATCTTCCGATTTCCATGGTATAAATACTCCCACCACGGCTGACTTCAAGCTACCAATATGACATCACTGAATGCAGGGTTGGGGAGAGATGCACACAGGCGCTTGTGAGCCAGGGGGAGCTGTTCCCAGCACACAAGGGTCCCCCAGCAGCCTGAAGCCCCAGTTACCTGTTCTGATAACTGGCTTGATAACATGCCTTTTGCTGGCCTCCCTGACCCACTCCCCAACTCTGCCACCTCTCAGATAAACTACCTGCACTCGATTCCTGGTCTCAAGGTCTGATTCTGGGGGAACCCAAACTGAGACCTCCACCTGAGAGGTTAATTTACTTCGACCCCTTCCCTAATTGCTAGAACATAGGACCGCAGATTGATGGAGCAAGAAGGGTCACTAGAGGTCATCTTGTCCAAGCCCTCTGAAGTCCCTAGCTGGGGAAGGACTAAGGGAGCTACTGGCAGGTCAGGAAAATAAGCAGTTCTCTCATGTCTGGAGGAAAAGATGAAGAAGGAAAGATTTTGGTGCCTTCATTTCTAAGACCATCTCCCCGCTGAACTTCCAACCCACACCGACATCTACTCCCCAGCGTCTCCTGTCAGTCCCCTCCCTCTGCCTGCCATGGGCCTCTGCGAAACAAGTCTAATCCCTGATTTGAAGGCCATCTCACAGGTCGATGATAACTGTGAGGGTAGACTTCCTGGGCTGACAACTTGGGGATGATGGGGACTGCCATCGTCTCTCCCGACAGGTACCAAGTGCTGAACCCCAGCGTGATTTCTCAGGGGTTCGTGGACAACAAGAAGGCCTCAGAGCTGCTGCTTGGGAGCATCGACTTGGATGTGAATGAATACAAAATCGGACACACCAAGGTAGGGTCTTCCCACTCAGGTTTGTCCCAAGAAGGTGGGTGTCAGGGTGTGAATTCCAGCTCAGCCGTAGACCAGGTGGTCAAGCCCCTCAGCTGCTGAGAGCCTCTGTGCCCCCTTCTGAAAAATCAGGGCTGGTAAAGCCAATCTCACAGGATTGGGAGTAGCGTGCGTGAGAACCCAGCTCAGACAGAGAGGTACTCAATAAACAGGAGAATATTAGGACTGCATGGGCCACAGATTTCTCAGAATAAAAGCAGCCGATCGGAATCAAGGTCCTGGACTGGACCGGGGCACCACGGTACGTGTGTGGGCGAGGTCCGGGGGTGAAGCACCCTAATCCCAGCCCACCCACACCACGAGTCCCAGCCCTGAGTTGGCAGGCGAGTCAGGGTTGACTCAGACAGAGCGGTCGCCTGATCCTGACTCATGGGGCCCATGTCTGTCCCACTTCCTGGCCCCGCAGAGTCCTGTCAGGATTGTAAGGGCCAGGCTGATGGTGGGAGGTGCCCATCGACACCTGCCCAACCAGACTCACCCCAACATGACAGTCAGGGTGATGCAAGAGGGGCCCTGGCTTTGCCTCAGGCTCGGAGGCTGCTGCCGTGCAGCCTGGAGTGGGTCACTTGACCGTCCTGGTCTCGTGGGGGACACAGGCAGGCCCAGCTTCTCTGTGGGCCTGGTGTGGCACAATGCCCAGGGAAGCTCCCAGCTGCATGTACATCCAACACGTACGGAGTGCCTCCTGTGTGCCAGGCACAGTTCTAGGCTTAGGGATACGCAGGTGGACAGAACAGAAAGAGTCCCTAGCTCCCTACAGCTTGCTTTGTAGCCATTGGTGTTAGCAGGATTGTAATACTGCCTTCAAACCTGCCAGAACCATTAGCTTTGGCCTCCTGCACCACTGAGACGTGATGTGTGGAGATAAATTGACTTATGGGAACTCTCAGGCTTTGTCACAGAATCACTGAATACCTGAGCTGGAGAGAACCTTGGAGACCAGCTCCTTCCCCCACCCCACCTTTGATGGGTGGGAAACTTAAGAAAGCCTGGAGAAGACATAGAGGTGACATGCCCAATTTCACAGAACTAGGCAGGACAGGGCAGGCCTCAGGCCCCTCGTCATGGGATCAGGGAAGTCACGTGACTTGTATCTGACACAGCTACCCCTGGGCAGACAGACTGATCTTGCTGTTGTTCAAGGGTTGCATGGGGCACCTCAGGTCCAGGTAAAGGCCTGGGGCTGCTGCGGATTGCTTTGCTCCCCGGTGCCAGGCAGGCTCTGGTGGCAGGGGCAGAAAAGAGAACAGAATGACTCCACCTGTACACTGTGTCCCCATCCCTGGCTTTGGCTCACGTGGGCCTTCCCCACCAGCCACATGCTTGCCTCACTGCTCCTCAAAGACCAAACCTCAACCACAATTAATCTGGAAATCTCAAGCCCAATGTCTCTACCCTACGATTGGTGGGGAGAGGGCAGAGGGAAGAAGCATCCCTTTCCATCCTTTCCCTGTCAGTATCCAAGCATCCACATCTTTATATTCATCTGGGGGCTCTAATCCCTGCCCCCACGTGTAGAATCAGAGATTCCCAGCGCTGAAAGGACTTGGGGTCCTGCACTCCCACTGGACAGGAGACGAGACCACGTTCCCCCAAAGGAGAGTGACTTAACCAAGGTGCCCTAGCACATCCAAAGCAGGTTGAGGACAGGTGTGGGTCTCCTGGTTCCTTCTATACTTCCAGAAGTTTCTATCATGTCCTATTAGAAGCCTATAAAAATATGGTGCATTATAAAACACACTGATAAAGCGATCACCCATAAGCCCACTTAAAAACCCAGAACTTCATCTTTACATCTCTTTCCTCTCCTTCCTCCCCACCCCAAGGAGTAACCTTTGTCCTGAATGTTAACTGTACCCTTGCCTTTTCAAAAACAGTTTTATCACATATGCACATGGCCCAAGGTTTGCCTGGTTTTGAGCTTCATGAAAGTTATCATACTTGGTATCTTATCTGACATGCTTTTGTCACTTAATCATGTTTCTAAGATTCATCCTTGTTGGCTGGTATGTGACGTTTGTTCATGGTCACAGCCATATCATAGGACTTCTGATGGCCATGCCACACCTGTCCCGTCTCCTGTCCTTGGAAATTGGATTGCTCCTTCTTTTCTCAGTTACCAACAATGCTGCTATCAACATCCTCACACATGGCCCTATGCAAGAATTTCTCTAGAACAAAGTTTTCAACTTTGGCTGTACATGAGAATCATCCAGACTGAGGGTGGGGGCAGAGAGGTTGGAACACCGATGCCTGAGCTCCCCACCCCAGAAACTGTTTGAAGTCACCTGTGTCCAGGCAACGGCATCTTTCCAAAGCCCTCCAGGTGGGGGCGATGTGCAGCCAGGGTTGAGATACACACTGAGGGAGTGACAACCAATTTCCAAAACTGTACTTACTCACCACCCACCCCCTCGTTGATTCACATACTTGCCAACACTTGTTTTATCAGAAGTCTTCAGTGTTGCAGATTGCGGGGGAGGGGGAGTGGTATCTTGTGACCTTAATTCGCATTGCCCTGAGGTTGGGTGTTTCTGGCCCTTTCTAACAAGCATTGCAGAGCTGTTCTTCTTTTCCTGGGGACGAGTCCCACTCATAGAACAGAGCCGGATGCCTGAAATTGTGCACCACTGGGAAAACTCTGTCCCCCTTCTAGAAAGTCAACTCCCCCTGCTGAACCACTATCCCCTCTTCCCACTCCCATATCCCGTGGGACCATGACTGTCCCAAGGCTGCTTTGCATAGTGGTAAAAAGGAAGGCCCGTTGGCACCCTGCTGCCAGGCAGTCACCATAGGTAACAGTGAAGATCCAAACGATTTATCACATTTTACTCAGAGCTTCACAGTTTGCAGAAGTACTTTCCCTGTTATCTCATTTAATTTTTATAGCAACCCTCTAAGGGAGGGATCAACAACCCCATTTCACAGATGAGGCACTGAGGCCCTAAGATGTGAGGAGGCATGTCCAAGGTGACCCAGCTAGTAACTGCAAGGCCGGGACTAGAGCCCACGGGAGTGTCCAAGAGCGAGAGGAAATAGATGCTGAGGCTGGCACGCCCTGCCGTGCAGACGTCCAGGCCAGGGCCAGCTGTTTCCCAGGGTCTCTGAACTCTGAAGGACCCGTCGGAACTTCTTGTTCTTTCATTGTGAACTCCCCGCTAAGCAGCTGCTCTGGTGACAGAGGGGCTATTCTCAGATCCATGTGTCTTTCCCCCAGGTGTTCTTCCGAGCAGGCGTCCTGGCCAAGCTCGAGGACATGCGGGACGAGCGTCTGGCCAAGATCCTGACGATGCTTCAGTGTCGGCTCCGGGGTTTCCTCATGAGGGTTGAGTTCAAGAAGATGCTGGAACGAAGGTAACGCCAGTGGGGCAGGCCTACTGAAGCCACGCCATCCACATGGAATGACCAGGGACCCCTCCACACACACAGTGCTCAGCTCCACCAGTGACACTGGGCAGTGAGATAGAGAGGGTGCCAATGTCTTTGTTGTCCCAAAGAACCCTCTTTGGGGCCTGTGTTGGTTTCCTGGGGCTGCCATTAGCAAAGTACCACAAACCAGGTGCCTTAAAACAATAGAAATTTATTTTCCCATGATTCTGGAGGCCAGGAGTCTGAAATTAAGGTGCTGGCAGGCAAGCTCCCTCCAAAGCCTCGAGAGGGGAAGCCTGTCTTGCCTCTTCCAGTCCTGGTAGCCCCAGGCACTCCTTGGCTTGTGGCTGCATCTCTCCAATCTCTGCCTCTGTCCTCACAAGGTCTTCTTCTGTGTCTGTCTTCACACGGTCTTCCTTTTTTTTATAAGGACACCAGTCATCTTGGGTTAGGGGCCCCCCACTACTCCAATATGACCTCATCTTAAACTAAGTTAATTCCATCTGCAAAGACTCTTATTTCCAAATAAGATCACATTCACAGGTTCTGGGGGTTAGGACTTCAGCGTATCTTTTGGGAGGGGACACAATTCAACTCCTAACAGGGACCACCTAATATAAACCCTTCTCTTTACAGTCACTTTCACAGCCTTCCCCTTACTTGATCCATATGATGATGCTGTGAGAGGGATGTGGTAGGATCAGCACCCCCATTTTACAGATTGGAAACTGAGATCAGAGGGGTTAAGGTACTGGGCCAGGTCCATGCAGAAAGAGTCAGGATTAGAAGCCAGAAATCCTTGTCCCAAATCGCTGCCCTCAGAATTGTGTTTCTCAGCCATCTCCCTAAAATGGTAATTAGAAAATAGCTCTGGCTACCCTGGCTGCCCTGTGGTTGACTCTGGCTCTTGTGGTCATAGTATTAGTAATAGTAACAGTAATGAATAAATAATAACAGTAATGAAGTCCTGATGTCCACCAGCAGGGCCCCTGTGACCCCGGCCAAAGGCAGGGACACCAGTTAGGGGCTGAGTGGTGGGACTCAGTGCACAGAAGATCCTCAGTAAATGACAGTTGAAGGAAGCTGTCAGGGACAAGGAGGGCTGATTCCAGAGACCGCAGACTGATGGGATTTGGAGACTAACGGATGATTTCCGGTGAGGGAGCAGAAGGAGGGAAATGCAGGAAGAAATGAGCTCAACCCTGAGCTGTCCGGGAGGAGCTGGTTCCATCGGGGAGGCCAGTCCCCCGTCCCCTCCCCTGCCCCCCATGCCTTCATTTTAACCCATGCAATGCTGGATTCTTCCCTTTTTTTTTTTTTTGCAGAGTTGGCCTGAAGGTCATCCAGCGGAACACACGCAAGTTCCTGGAGCTGCGTTTCTGGGGCTGGTGGAAGCTCTACAACAAGGTGAGGACTGAGGGGCCGCAGTCCTGGGCGGAGGGCCCTCCTGGGGATGGGAGGCCGCAGGATGCTGCAGGGACAGTCTGAAAATGAGGGCACCTTGGAGGAAGAGTGTAGCCTCCTTCCAGGAGGGGGCTGAATCCTCCCTGAGAAAAACGATAGTGTGTCTTCCCACCTTTCAACTCATCCCTCAAAATAAAACCCACTTAGGATGCAGAGAGCCCCCTCCCCACAAAAGTGGGCTTGGTGCGCAGTGCCTCACCCTTGGGCATGTCGAAGCATCTCAGCTCCTTCAGTGAAGTCCTGGACTTTAGGAAATCATGGGATCCGACCTCTCCTTTCCCAGGCTGTTCTGAGGCAGCAGTGGGGGTGAGTGAGTCAGCCAGGAGGGGAGGCTGCAGGCGCCCAAGTAACCAGTCCACCCTCAGCAAATGCAGGAGGCCACGAACCAACCTACTGCATGAGGCTCCAGTGGCGCTGGGGCATGGCGTCCCACCTGGGGTCCCTGTTACAAGGAAGCACGGCACTGGACCCGGGGGCAGGGCTGCCGCATTCAGGGGGCCGGAGGGCAGTGTTGTCTTGAGGGGCGGGGTGTTCAGGGCAGCTACGTGGAGGGTTGGCCCAGGCTCCAGGTCATCTTAGGGGGCCCTGAGCCCCCGACAACTCAAGCAGAAGCTTCTCTCCCCTCCCCATAGGGAAGAACTTTCTAACAATCCATGCTGACCACAAATTGAAAGGGAGGGACAGTAAGTTCTGCATCCCCAGCGGTGCCCATGCACAGGCCGGCCCACTGGAGGGCCTGAGACGGCAGAGGGATCTAAACAAAAATTTCTCAAATTTAGTCAGTATGGCATTTTCCCCACCTGTTCTATGACTGACCTTCTTTCTTTACATCAACTCACTGTTTTATTTCGAAATTTTTATTTTAAAAGGAAACTTCACATCCTTACCTGTCTCATCCTAAGCAAACGTTATGCATAAAACTGTGGATTTCGAGAGTTCTTTTCATTTTTAAAAATTATTATTTTTCAAAATCATGTATTAAACTATTACTTTTCAAAATTATTTTTAAAGTAACCATGTAACAATGAAAATCAAAAGGTTTCCATGCAAAGGTTGAATCCATCTCACCTGCCCCCTCAGTGTATGTATTACCCTTTGGGAAGCCCCAGACCAACGGCCTTTAAGATTCCTTCCAAGCCAGACATAAGTGACCACAGATGACAAGGAGACAGAGCCTAGAAACTTCTCTGCTCTTTACCAGAAAGTAAAACTTCACCAATTAAACATAGCGGAGCAAGATCCTGTTCCAATAAGTGAAAACATAAAATTAAGTTAAAATCCTTTACTCTTAGCGTGTTAAGTGAGCTCTAACCTTATTTAACTAAGTCAGATAAGCTGAATCAATGGAAAAAAACACCTTGGGGGAGGCTTTCACTGGATAAAAAGTGTAACACAGTTGCAAGTGATACTTACTATCACCTTTTTTTTTTTGCGGTTCGCGGGCCTCTCACTGTTGTGGCCTCTCCCGTTGCGGAGCACAGGCTCCGGACGCGCAGGCTCAGCGGCCATGGCTCACGGGCCCAGCCGCTCCACGGCATGTGGGATCCTCCCAGACCGGGACACGAACCCGTGTCCCCTGCATCGGCAGGCGGACTCTCAACCACTGCGCCACCAGGGAAGCCCACTATCACCTTTTTATGCAAATTTTGCACTGCAATATCCCAGATCCCCATAGACCAGGCTGGCAATGACAGGTTTATCTGTCATCTTCAAAGAGAGGCCATTCCTTCTCCCAAATCTATGGGTTTGCACTCCCGAATAATGTATCCATAGATCAGGAAATATCCCGAGGGCCTGTCCTGCCTGCTCTGCTTGGTGCTGTAGAGACACTGAGGGCAGGAGGGAGATGGGGAGGGGCAGAGGGCAGGGCTCGTGGTCTAGCAGGGCAGAGGACCCGATGGACCCAGGCACTCTTGTAGGATGAGAAGTGCCAAATGCACAGAGAGGTCCAGACAGGTGCTGTGGGTGCAGAAGAGGAGCGACTATTCCTGGCTGAAGGCAAAGCAGCCCACACCTAGTCCCCTGGCAAAGCCCATCTCCCTAACACTCTGCAGTGTTGTTCGCCACCCAGGTCAAGCCACTCCTGAATGTGGCTCGGCAAGAGGAGGAGATGAAGGCCAAGGAGGAGGAGCTAAGGAACGCCACGGCCAAGACGCAGGAGCTGCTAGACAAGATCAAGGATCTGGAGGAGAAGATGGCCACGCTCAGCCAGGAGAAGAATGACCTCACCATCCAGCTGCAGGCAGTATGTGGGGCCCTGGGGGCAGCGGCAGGAGCTGGGGGCCTTGGCAAGAGTCAGACCCACAGAAGGAGGGAGAGTGGCCTTCTAAGAAGCTGTGTCCTTCCAGACGCTGGGCAATTCCCAGACTTCTCTTTCTTTCATTGCCACGTCATCCTGGACCCAACTACCAAAAAGTCTCCATCAAATTCCTGTTTGCCCACAGCAGCAAGCTGAGCACACACACATACAGTACATGCTGGGCCTGGGGCATCGTCCAGACATGGGGGCCACGAGATGGTGGGAGGAGCACCTCTGGGGTGAGCCTGGCTCCCTGGGGACCTAGGGAACTTGCCCTCTTTTCTCTGCTTCCTCTTCCTCGCCCATCAAGTGCAAACACAGAGGGGAGAACATATGACCTAGTTTCTGTGGGGAGCCTGACTCCCAATACGATGAACAAGTTCACTGCCGTGACCCTTCTGGTTTACAAGGGTCCTTCCTTCTCTGATTCGAGCTTCACAACCACCTCATAAGACGCCCGATTTTCATGTGTATCTTCAGGGTAGGAAACTCCACTTGACCGACCTTTAGAGATTTGATCAAGGTCGCAAGCTGGTCAGTAGAAGACCCACAACTGGGAGGGGTCCAGTCCCATCTTGGTCATTCCTGCTCTGTCACAGCCATGTCTCCTCACTGAGAGAGTGTCAGCACTTGCATTAGCTAACCATTTTCCCCAAGCTGTCTCTGACATCTTTTCTCCCATCCTTTCCACCCCCCTGAGAAGTTGCTCAGGCTAGGACCCTCATTTTATGTTTGGGGAGGCTGAGGCCGAGCGTGAATACAAGGATCAAAGAATCTTCCGTTTACAGAAGCGCCACCATGTGCTCCATCCCTTTATACCTCACGATGATCATTTCCCTTATTTTGCAGAGAATTGAATTTCAGTAAATTTATGCCACAAACCAAAAGTCATCTAGCTGGTCTGGTCTTCTGACTCCATGGGCAGTTGTTGTCTTACACCACTGACCCCATCTCAGGGAGACCCCAGTGGACACCCCGCTTGTCCCTCCTCTGACACTTACTGCCTGTGTGACTTTTGACAACTCCACCCCCTCTGCATATCGGTTCCCTCATCTCTGAACGCTAGCTTATAGATGACACCTGTCTGGCTTGCTTCTCAGTGTTGTTATAAGGAGAAACCAGGGACGGGAAATGGTTTGTTAACACGGAAGTGCTAAATCAATGCTGGGAGTTATTTGGGTGGACGTGCCCCTCCACGTTGGCAGATGCAAGCACAGGCCCACATGGGATCAGTGGATGAGACGGCAGAGCCTGAACGGACAGAGGCATCCTGCCTGAGTGGCCCGGGCTTCTCCTAGGCCACTGCTAATGCCTTAAGGTGAATCTGATCACCTGGTATCTCATTAAAAAGCAGATTCAGATGAACAGGTCACAGGTGGGGACTGAGATTTTGCATTCTAACCGGCTCACAGGTGATGCTGCTGCTGCTGGTCTGGGGACCACACTCCTGGACGAGGCTTCGTCACCAAGAAGCTCAGAGATACCCAGCCCCTGTCCAGCCCCCAGGACACGTTTGTTGGGGGCCCATCAGCCCGAGGCCTATCCGTCAGCACGTCCCCCTGCAGGTGCCCGGCCCCTGCCCTTGACCAATACTCTCTTTCTTCCACCAGGAGCAAGAGAACCTGATAGATGCGGAGGAGCGCCTGACCCAGATGATGAAGACCAAGATGGAGCTGGAGAGCCAGATCTCTGACATGCGGGAGAGGCTGGAGGAGGAGGAGGGCACATCGGCCTCGCTAAGCGCCACCAAGCGCAAGCTGGAGGGGGAGCTCAGTGACCTCAAGCGGGACCTGGAGGGCCTGGAGACCACGCTGGCCAAGACGGAGAAGGAGAAGCAGGTGGGGAGGCCCCTGGGCCAGACCCTGCTCCTCCCAGGGCCAGGGAACCCCCAGCCCGCTGCCCTGCAGGGGCCACACCCAGAGCCCATACAGCAATGCTGCCCGGGACCCGAGCCACCAGCCACATGCAGCTATTTTAACTTAATTCATTACAATTTCAAATGTCGTTCCTCGGTCAACCTGGCCGCGTATGGAGGGCTCAGTAGCCGCTCGCAGCAAGTGCTACGATGTCGGATAGAGCAGACAGAGCACACGTCCATTGTTTGGACAGAGCAGCTGACTCAGGGGGCTGAGAGCTGTTCCCCTCGTGGGGACGCCCAGGCCTGGCTGGTTCTCCTTGTGCCTGGGATTCCTGGGCATTCTGCCTGGCCTTCTGCCCACTCAGCCTCAGCATCCCTGGGGCCCCTCACAGAACATCCTTCTGCAGCACCATGTCCACCCCTCCCCCTTCCCAGAGGAAGCAACCATATTGTAAGGTGGGGTCACCTTTAGCTGTTGGATTTCTGCCCAAACAAGCAGCTGCTGCCCTTCCAAGTGGCTCCCTGACTCCTGGTACCGTCTGGCTCGCCCTTGGTCCCAGGCCCCCTTCCCATCTCACAGTGGGTGGGGTCCCCGAGCAGGGGGAGGTGGATGCTGCCTAAGCCGGGGCGTCTGCAGCTTTGATGTGCACTCGAACCACAGGGACCTCAATAAGACGCAGGCTCTGGGCCAGCAGGTCCTGCGGGGCCCAGGGGCTATATTTCCAACACAGTCCCCGGCGAAGGCACAGCTGCCGTCCAAGGACCAGGCTCTGAGTAGCCAAGGCCTGACGGTGTTCTCTCTGTCCCCTCACCCCCAAGATTCTGACTTGGTTGGCTGGGCTGTGCCCTGGGCATTGGTGTCTCTTAGGCTCCCAGGTGGCTCTGGGGAACAGCCAAGCTGAGAACCCTCTCTCGGGGCAAGTACTCTCCTCCCCTTCTCCCCCTGAGGGTGTTCCCAGCCTTAAAGTCCAGCCTCTCCCCTGCCGCCCCATCTCCAGGCCCTGGATCACAAGGTCCGCACCCTGACTGGGGACCTCTCGCTTCGAGAAGACTCTATCGCCAAGCTCCAGAAGGAGAAGAGGGCCCTGGAGGAGCTGCAGCAGGTAGGCACCGGCTACTTCTCCTCTTGGTGGAGCAAATGGAGCTTGGAGACGGGAGACCCTCATTCGAATCCCGGCTTTGCCGCCCATCAGCTGGGGCCCTTGGGGAAGTCACAGTGTCTCCCTACATCACAATGCCCTCATCAGTGAAGTGGACACAGTCACTTGCTACCTTCCTTCCAGGTTTGTTGTTAAGTGGGGTGAACCTATCATTTATCACCCAAACTAGGACAGGTTTCAGAGTGAAAGGGGTCAGCAGGCATGTGTCAGAATGGTCCAGGCACACTGGGAGGGATGCTCCCAGAGTCATAAGGATGAAGTGGGCGTATGGAAGCGCACTGTGAGCTCTAAAGCACCAGGGAACCCCGATTCATTGCAGCAACAACAGGCCTGAGTTCCTGAGGTCATGGGGAGCCCACCCGACTGTTTCAGTTGCTCCTGAGTGTGGAGCCAACTCTGACCACCCACCAGTGCTGACCATGGCGTGGAGCACCTCCTAACCTAGACACAGGTGCCAGGAGCAAATTGAAGCCCAGAACTAGACAGTGGACCCTCATCCCTGTGTTTGCTGACATCATGAATCTACAATATGTCCCCCGAGCACATTTCTCTGTCGCCTCTGGAAACACCTCCCCTTAGACTGTGACTCTCCATCGTATCAAACCCAGAACCCCCTGTTACAGCAAATATGCTCAGTTCTCATTATTCGGGGTAGCAATGTTCTGTAGAGTCATTGAATTAGCAAATACTGAACCTTTGCTCTCAGGGAAATACAGGGTTATCTTCCTGCAAGCCTCTAGTCACAGTGTTTTTGTCAACCCATCAATACATCATACATATGATGGTGATCAATACATTATCTTGTTTTATGTGTATTTCTGTTGAAAAACACCTTATTTAGTACATATTGTTTTTTGGGGCTTTTGGGGTTTTTTTGGGGTTTTTTTTGGCGGTACGCGGGCCTCTCACTGCTGTGGCCTCTCCCGTTCTGGAGCACAGGCTTCGGATGCGCAGGCTCAGCGGCCATGGCTCACAGGCCCAGCCACTCCGCGGCATGTGGGATCTTCCCGGATCGGGGCACGAACCTGTGTCCCCTGTATCGGCAGGCGGACTCTCAACCACTGCGCCACCAGGGAAGCCCCAGTACATACTGTTGATACATTGAACTCATGGTCAACAGCCCCTGTATCTCAGGCCTGAATGAAGCTCATCCAACACATAGATTTTCTCTGCAAGGCACATCACAGCCTTCTTGCGTCAGGAATGCCAGACAGCACTGCAGAACCGTGCTTCGCGTCACTGTAAGCAGTGAAATCACCAACAAAGAGCACTGACGTGTAGAAAACGTGGCACTACATAGACTGGGAAAAGCACACGTGTTTGCAGTCTGAGACGAACCAAGGAGACAGAGCATCATTCATGCGACCTCAGCTGGGAACATGCCCCGCTTTGCATGTCCACGAATGACCACGAAAGCACCATGAGTATTGATTTGGGGATTACAAATAAATTTTAGCGAGTAGGTAAACCGGCAAATAGATAATTCACGGATAATGAGGATCAACTGTATTTTGGAATGCCCTCTTACTATCCTGAATTGAAAATTATAATAATGTAACTAATATATAACTTCAGAAAAATCAATAGAGTGCCCTTCCATATAAAAGGAGAAATGAATGAAAGTAATTTATAATAAATAATGGGGCTGTCAAAGTATAAAAGCTCAGGCAGATCTAGGAGGGCTGCCTGCCCAAGCCCGTCTTTGAAGGCTGTAGACGGGCACCCGAGGGTGTGTTGGTGACTCAGGTAGCCAAGTGCGGTTGCTACCAGTGATGCAATTTTACAAAACAGTCAATAATTCTCAGGGAGATTTTAACAACAAGAAGTAAATCTTCTCTTAGTTTCCATGGTAGATCATTCTTTAAAATTGTAGTGTATACTAAATGAAAAAAATGTTGAGTTATGTGCGAAGAGGTACTAGGTTCTAGGTTCAGAAAAGTATAAATAGTTGTTTACTTACGTGAATGGCTGAATGGGACAGCAAGTGTGTGAAATGCAGAATTATTCTTCATGGCACCCATTATCCAGAGCAAGGCCAGATGTCCAGCGTCCCTGGAAGCACCCACAAAGTGGGTGAGGCCCCCAATCATTGTGACAACCAAAAGCACTGCACCCCCCAAATTTCCTATATGCCCCGTGGAGAACCAGAGCCCCCAACAGACCCCTAGGGGCCCACCTGTGGCTGACGGGTGATCAGTGTGCCGTGGCCTCACCCACCACCCAGGAGCAGGTGCTCTGTAACTGATCACTGACATCATCAACTCAGCTCGAAAGTGATGGCAGAGAACCAGATCTGTTCAGCTGCTCCCGCCTGCCTCACAGGACACACGCGTGTATCTTTCCTTCCAGAAAACCCTTGATGACCTGCAAGCCGAGGAGGACAAGGTGAACCATCTGACCAAGAACAACAGCAAGCTTAGCACCCAGATCCATGAGGTAATGCCCCGTTGTTGGGTCTGATTCTATAGCTCGACGGTCAGGTCTGTCCCAGGTCACAGGGACCTCAGATACATTTTGGGAAACTGGGAAGTGAGGCCCTTTCTGATGCCACAGCTAAGGAACCAGGCCCAGTCTGGTTCTTTATTGCATTCTGGCCTCAGACAACCCTCCCCACACATACACACCCTACTTTCTTTTGTATTTTTTGTCTCCGCAGCTGGAGGATAACTGGGAACAGGAAAAGAAAATCCGGGCGGAAGTGGAAAAAGCTCGCCGGAAAGCTGAGAGTGACTTGAAGATGACCATTGACAATCTCAATGAGATGGAGCGGTCCAAGCTAGATCTCGAGGAGGTGGTGAAAAAGTATGCAGTCTTTCATTTTGCCCGTAGCAGTGTTAGCGATATCTAGCACTTTCTGGATGGCACCCGGCACCAGGCACTCTGCTGAGGGCTTCATGTGTATCAGTGCATGTCCCCTGAACCTGCTCTGTACCAGGCACTGTGCTCAGCTCGGAGGATTAGGGAGGGAGGGGCAGGTGCTTCCCTGTTCTCAGGGAGTTCCCAGCCTCACACAGGGCCTGCTGGGCGCTGGAAAGGACACAGGTACTAAGCAATGCACCCACCCCAGAGGTCAGGGAGTCTTTGCAGAAACCTGAAAATTGGGCTCTCAAAGATCACAAGGAGTTGAGGGGATATGTTAGCGATATCACCCTGGTAATAACATGGAGCACATGTGGAGTGGAGAAAGCAGGAAGACAACTACTGCAATAGTCGAAGCATAAACCGGAACTGAGTAAGAGGCTGAAGGGATGGAGATAAGGAGGCAGGTAAGGAAAGCTTTTAGGGGGCAGAATTTGGACAATGCATCTTTTTTAAAAATATTTATTTATTTATTTATTTAATTTTATGGTTGCGCCAGGTCTTAGTTGTGACAGGCGGGCTCCTTAGTTGTGGCACATGGTCTCCTTAGTTGTGGTATGCAAACTCTTAGTTGCAGCATGCATGTGGGATCTAGTTGCCCCAGCAGGGATCAAACCCAGGCCGCCTGCATTAGAAGCACAGAGTCTCATCCACTGTGCCACCAGGGAAGTCCCCTGGACAACGCATCTTTGAAGTACATTTTGCTAGGGCAATTCTAAAGCACCACAGGCTGCCAAGAGGGCGTGTGCAGCTAAATCTGCATCTCAGCACATTTCTTGGGAGGCACACCCAGAAGGTGCGGGTGACCCTGCCCATCCTCCCCACCTGCTTGGTCTCTGGCATCTTACCTCTCACACGTGGCTCTTGACACGTGGAACTCACATCAGGAGACAGCCTTTTGCAGAAAGATTTTGGAGGAACATTTTCCCTAAAAAGGCCAAGCATCTGTGTGATGCTGGAGCCCCTAGACTGTAAGCTGCACCAGAGCAGTGACTTCTGTCCGTTTTGTTCACTGATGTGTCCCTGGAACCCCAGACAATGTCTGGCACCAGGAGGGACTCAATAAATTGAAGGCAAATTAATAAATGCACAAGTGAATGAATGAGTGAGTGAAAAACCAGTGGAGCAAATCCTGGGGCTCTGTAGGCCGACTCATCTGTAGGGTGAGAAGGCCAGCGGTCAGGGCTGAGTGGGTCTCAGCAGGGTCAAGGTCTCCCCCGGCAGCCCCAGCTCCATTCCCGTGCCAGCTTGCTGGTCTAGCCTCAGAGCTTTTCCTCAGGAGGTCAAACCTTCTCTTGCAGGAGAGATATGGAAATCAATTCTGTCAACTCTAAATATGAGGATGAGCAGTCTCTGAATTCCACGCTGCAGCGGAAACTAAAGGAACACCAGGTCTGTCTGTGCGGGATGGAGGAGACCCAGATCCTCTTTTGAAAGGCACTGGCCTGCACCTTTGCTCACATCAGCGGATCTGCTGCTGCCACAGAGTCCTCAGAGACTGACTGATGTCCACCTCATGCTGGGATAAATTCCAAGTCCCCACAGTGGCCACAGGACCCTCCACAATAGCCCCTGCTCCCTCCCTGGCTTGTCACCCACCGTTCCCCCACCATTCCGTTCAGCCCCTCTGGCCCCTTGTGGGGTCTCACACACCCCAGCCTCCCTCCTGCCTCAGGACCACTGCACACACTCTCTGTGGCCCGCTTCCCTCTGCTTTTGACAGCGTCCCACATACACTTAGCTGCCTTCCATCATTTTCATTCTAAAAGGCCAGTGGGTGGGTCTCTAACTTCACCCAGGAGAGATAAATGCCCCGCTCTGTCTGCCTTTTTGCCTGCTAGGCCCGAATCGAGGAGCTGGAGGAAGAGCTGGAGGCTGAGAGGGCAATGAGAGCCAAGGTAAGTGAGATGCGTCTACGCTTCCTCCCTCCTTTCCTGAGGCAAAGGACCCAGTGAAGCCACAATCCAACAACGAGCAGAAACTCCTGTTGAGAAACCAGTAGGGGGGAGGATGGGGTTCCGGTTGGAAAGGACTTGTTGTTTCTTGAGCACCTACTGTGTGCCAGGCCCTGTGCTACACGTGCCCATTAATGACGACGTAAGAGGCACAGATGCTCTTTGTTGCGCGGTCCAAGGAGAGTGGGCAATGTTAGCCTGGGGACTGGAAGACTGCATTCAACAGGCTGAGGTGGGGAGGAGTTTCTAGGCAAAGGGAATCAAATAGCACTTATGTGCACAGGTACGAAGGTGTGAAAGGAAGAGCCAGGAGTGGAGGAAGGCTTGAGGGCAGGGATCCTGTAGGGAGATGGATCGTAACACACCTAACTCCAGCTTCAGCCCAGCTGGGCTGGGTGGCAGGATGGGCACTAAGGCCCCCCCCAGTGCCGGGAAGAGGACAGACAGCATCCTCTGCTGAGTGTGTGGGGGGGTGACGGGCAGAGTGCAGAGCTCCCCAAGCGCAGGCCCCTGGCCTCACAGACGCCACGTGGTGATCACAATCCTTACCAGAGAAACAGGGGTTCTTGGATGGCCAAGGTCAGTGTCATCCCATCTCCCCCCAGGTGGAGAAACAACGCAGTGACCTGTCCCGAGACCTCGAAGACCTCAGTGACAGGCTGGAAGAGGCTGGGGGAGCCACATCTGCTCAGGTACCATCCTCGGGGTGTCCAGGAACCCCGATTCCTGCCTGCCTGCCTGCATGGAGAAACAAATGCTGGACGATGAGCAGGGGGATAAGGACCAGTTAGTTCCTGCTGAATTCCCGGGGCTCCCTTGAGGAGAAACCAATCAATGATAAAGAATAGGCAAGAGGGGGCCGGTTCAGTCCACTTTCTTCTGGGGCTCCTCGGTTCAGTGGACGCAGCTGGGATTTGGACTGAATGCCCCAGGGAGGCCAGCACCGGCCAGCCCGCAAGCCCTTCTTCTGCTCCACCCCAGATCGAGCAGAACCGCAAGCGGGAGGCCGAGCTGCTGAAGCTGCGGCGGGAGCTGGAGGAGGTGGCCCTGCAGAGCGAGGCAGCGGCCTCCACACTGCGCAAGAAGCACACAGACTCCATGGCCGAGCTGACCGAGCACGTGGAGAACCTGCAGAGGGTCAAGTCCAAGCTGGAGAAGGACAAGCAGGTCATGAAGGCCGAGATCGACGACCTCAACGCCAGCATGGAGACCATACAGAAGTCCAAGGTGAGGGAGGACACCCCGCAGAGCCTTCACGAATAATATCCCCCGAGTCCCCCGACAGGCCCGAGGTCCATTCTAGATGCTGTGGAGGGAACCAAGATGGACCCGTCACAGACCCCACTGGCTGTGTGTATAACCTCGGCCAAGGTGCACAACCTAACCGTGCCTCGGTTTCCCCATCTGTAAAATGGGGAATAATGATAATCCCCACCTCACAGTGCTGTTGTTAGGGCTACGACAGTTCCTGGCACATAAGAAAAGCTCAATAAATGTGAGCTATTAGGATCATCATGACCTTAGTATGACTATATCCTCCAGGAGTTGGAGACTTAGTAGGAGAAACAATCATCGCCACAATGAAAAAGTGGTATGTGGCAAGAAAGAAAATTAAGTACAATTGAAGTAAAATTAAGCCACTCAACATGCATTTATCCAGCCCCTGCCACAGGAAGAGTCTTCTTGTGACACAAGGGAAGTGGCGGGTGGTGCTCCAAAGGTGAGCAGGGATGATGCTTTGGGGGTCCAGGTCCCAGCCAACTAGTGTCTCCAAACTTCAGACACTCACGAGGCATCTTCGTAGTTCCTGTTTTATCTGCAGGCGCCTGCTCTAATGCTGGTATTTTTCCTTAAATTAACTGGCTCCCGGCATTTTCCTATCGAGTGAGGTCAGCAGGGGCCCGGGAGTGAGGGGCTGTGTGCCAACCCAAAGGCTCTGGGCTTACGTTGATAGAAAATGGTGAGCCACTGGAGGTTTCTGAGACAGGGATGTTCTAGAAGGATGAGGTAGGTGGCCTGGGAGGCTGCACTAGGGCAGCGCAGCTGGGAAGCAGGGAGGGCCTGGCCTGGCCCTCCCCATTTCCCCACTGGGTTCGTTCTCCCTGAGCAGATGAATGCCGAGGCCCACGTTCGAAAGCTGGAAGATAACTTATCAGAGGCCAATGCCAAGGTGGCTGAGCTGGAGCGGAACCAGGTGGAAATCAACGCCATCAGGACCCGCCTTCAAGGTGAGCTCTCCCCTCCCCACAGCTTCCTAAGGAACAGTGCATGGAAAGGAGTGGGGATCCTCAAGGAAACTGAAAGAGTACCTGGGTGCCCTCCCAGAGCTTCCTTGACCTTGGAAAATCCACATCCCCTGTGACTAGACAAGAAGATTTTCTTCCTCCCACTGAGTGCTCCAAGTAACATCTTTACAGTGTAAAACAGGGAACACTGTCCAAAACATTTTCCTATCAGTTCTCTCAGCCACCCCGTGAGATCAGCAAGAGGAGCAGCAATACCGACAAAACACAATTTTCAAACATTTTCAAACATGACCTGCCTACTAACGTAAAGCGAACACGTGTCACTAATGAGGGAACAAGAAAAATGGGAAAACTGCCTTTGAAAAGCACCTGAAGGAGCCGAGATTTACACAGCCAGTCGGGAAAGGAATGTTTCAGTAACTCTGCTGAGTTAGATGCAAAACTGGTTCATGTCCTATGCGGCAATAATACTGCAACCTCTAGGTTTGATTTGGGGTTTTTTCTACCAGAAGAAATTCTCTGCATCTCTAGGTCAAAAATAATTTGCAACTCATCAATATGCAAGTTAACGTCTGACTTCACAGAGTCTGGGCTCTAAAGAGGGGTCAACAGTTAAGTCAAGCAAAGGTGCATTTCCTTCGAGAAGTTAACGCTCCTGAGGCGCACCAGTTAGACAACACTCTCGTTTGACACCAGAGAACCTCCTTTGGCCTTACTTTCCACATTGTGAACTTTTTAAAATCAGTATCCCCATTTGATGGATAAGAAGAGTGAAACTCAGTGAGGTGAAGTGACTTGCCCATGGTCACAAAACCGAAGATACAGGGCAGAACTGGGAACCCTTGCTGGTTCTCTGGCTCATGCACCTTCTCCTGGCCTCTGGCTCCGGAGAGCAGTCTACAAATGACAGGAGTGTAGGTTCTGGGACCGTGACAAATGCATTTTTTTTCAAAGTAAACACTCTCCGCCCAACTGTTTTCTCCAAACTTCTTTGCGGTATCTCCTGCCAGGGGCTTCGCTATCTGAAGCCGCTTATCCCATGCAAATCACCTGGATGGTGGTGACCCTTGGGCACTTGCTCCCCTCCTGGGCCCACTAGATTTGGGCAGCTGATGCGGTGGTCGCCCTGCTCCCCATTCCAGCTCAGCTGACCAAGCTACTATACTGATGGGCACTTTGGGAGCAAGGCTTAGGATCTGGCGGGGGAGCTAGTTCTCCACCCAACGCTTCTTCCGTTCCCTTCTCGCCCAGCTGAAAACAGTGAACTGAGCCGGGAATATGAAGAATCCCAGAGCCGGCTTAATCAGATCCTGAGGATAAAGACGTCCCTGACATCACAGGTGGACGATTACAAGAGGCAGCTGGATGAAGAGTCCAAGGTTGGTTTGGGGGTGAGGTAGGGGGTGACAGAGCTGCCTCCTTGAAGAAAGTCATATGTTATGAAGATGTAGAAGGAACATGAAAAATATTTCATTCCACTGCAAGTAAAAGAGTTAACAACAAAACCAGAGTACGCTATATGTGCGACTAAATGAAATTAACGGAATTACATATCCTTGTGGATAGTAATTGGAAGAAATCAAGGAAAGTTAAACCCTGGTGGTTTGGGTTGTAGACTCCTGTGTCTCCCCCCACCGCCCCCCGCCCTGCCTTTACCCCGCTGTACTGTTGATCCAACGTCGTGTACCTCTAAGTGACGGCCCTGGGTGCCACAGAGACTGGGGGGCCCTGACAGGCTGGTCTGGTCACCACAGTCCCGCAGCACGGCCGTGGTGAGTCTTGCCAACACCAAGCACGACCTGGACCTGCTGAAGGAGCAGCTGGAGGAGGAGCAGGGAGGCAAGTCGGAGCTGCAGCGCCTTGTGTCCAAACTCAACACTGAGGTGACCACCTGGAGGACCAAATATGAGACGGACGCCATCCAGAGGACCGAGGAGCTGGAGGAGACCAAGTGAGCGTCACCCTGCGCCAGAAGGGCCGGAGAGGCCAGCGGGTTGGCGGGTGGGTGCGAGGTGGGGGCCTGAGCACCACAGCCACAGCTGACGCCAGGGCCACACCCAGGAGAGGGCAGTTCAGGGGCTCCTCTTAAAGGGGGACGAGTGTCAGGACAGGGAGCCCACTTCGTGCCCTCACCAGGTCACACACTGCATGCCCCACTGCTTTCAGCTTCCCTCTTCAAGGGCTCTCTTACCTACATCTTCTGCCCAGAAATGCTCAGGCTCCCTGCAGGGAAGTCAGGATGGTGGGGGGGCGGGATCTGCCTCCAGGCAGGGCTTCTCTGCCTCTGAAGTGCTCAGGAAGCTTCCATGGGCCTGGTGGGACTGGGGTGAGGCCCCTCGGTGATGCTGAGAGGACACGGGCCATGCTCCGTGGCAGAGGTCCCCCCTCGGCCAGTTCCCCAGCTCTGTGGCGAATGCCCTCAAGTCCTTTGAACTTTCTTCCTTCACAAACTAGAGACACAAACGCTCTGCTTGACGGGCCTGAGGAAACAAGAGTGGACACATGAACATGGCTCAGAGCTGCCCTCTTGCACAAGAGGCTGGCGTGGGTGCCCGTGGGCCAGGGCACCCAGGGAAGGCCTGCATGTGAGCCCCTGGTGCCAGGCGGGGAGGGAACCCCAGCCTGCCACTGGTGCCTTCCATCCACTGGAATTTGTGGTGACAGCATAGCGCAGTGCCTTCCAGCTGACATCAATCTTTATCTGGCACTCTTTATTCGCTGAGCCTACACCTGCCTTCCTGCAGCTCCACCTCCTGCCCTCCAGCCCTTTTCTAATATTTTCTATTGAGAGCTATGGGGGCTGCCTGGTCCCACCCCAGGCTCTCACTCCGAGCTAAACCTCAATTTCAAACCCTCCCCTCTCTCTGCCTGGAACCTCTTCCCCAGACACCCACAGGGTCCTGGCCTTTGCACATGTGTCCCCTCCCTGCTTTATTTTCCCATAGTGCTTATGTCACTTTGTTGTGTTTTCTGTCCCCCCTCTAGAACAGAAGTTTTGAGGGCAGGGATCTTAGTCTGTTTTATTCACTGCTATTTCCCTAATGCCTAGAATAGGACTTGGCACTGAGTAGAAACAATGAATATTTGTGGAATGGATGACTGGACACTGGTTGCTCTGTGCCAAACACCCCCGTTTTTATCTGCATCTTCTCCATTGTGACACCAGAGCTCAGCGCCATGCTGGGCTCCCCTGCCCCTGGGTGCCTATGTTTCCTTGATGGCCTCTCTTGCTCTCATCCACAGGAGAAAACTGGCCGCCAGGCTCCAGGAGGCAGAAGAGACGGCTGAAGCCGCCCAGGCCCGAGCCGCCTCCCTCGAGAAAAACAAACAGAGACTCCACGCAGAAGTTGAGGACCTCACCATCGATTTGGAGAAGGTCAGAGGGCCAAATGCTCCAAGGCTGACCATTTGCTGGGTCCAACAGCCCACGGGAAGCTGGATGAGACTGTCACATGTTGGGTTAGCAAGAAGGAACAGGTGGCCCAAGAGGGTGGAGAACAGGGTTTGCAGTCAGGCCCACTGTTCACTGCTTGAACATGTGTCAACATGCTCATGATTCTGAGATCTTAACTCAACCAGCCACTATTTAAATAGGTCCGTGACAAGGATAAAACTCAGTCCCGGGAAGTCCAGGAACCTATTGCCCCTGTTCCCCTTCCTCTTCTGCAAACCATGTTCCACACACTTTATGTGGCTAAATATTCCCGTTTGCATCCCTAGTTCAGACTGATTCGCCAGTCTTTAGCAAAATTAAATAAGATTTCCACTGGCACATACCAACCCAGTCTTGGTCCAGATAAGGTCATAGCCATGTGAGAGGCTTTGGGGGGAAAAAGTCCTAAAACCCCAAGGTTTTTGCTCCCTCCAAATTAAGAAGTTAAGCAGAAAAAAAAAAAGAAGAAATTAAGCAGAAATTTACAACGTCTAATATTGTGCAGCAGCAAATACACAGTTGCGGGGAGTTATGAAAAAGATGGAAGGGCTGTGAGAATAATATCTAAGAATAATGAGCTTTGATGAACAAGAAAAATAATACCCACCCATCTCTGAGTTGGGCAATGATATATATTAGTATGTTATAGAGAAATATGTTATGGGGAGTTAGGTGAACATCATAAATCTGGGAAGGCTGTTGTGGCCCAGATCCCTCCTTTTACACCTGAGAAAACCCTCACCTGGGAAGATAAGGTGGGCAGCCCAAGGTCACACATCTAGTAGTAGATGTTTTGGAACCGAAACATAATTTCTGGACTCCCTATTCTGTGCTTGTGCCACAAATGTTGAATTCTATCCCCATTCGAAGAAGTCTGGGGTCACCAGAGTTACTGGAGAGGTAGAGGGAAGGAAGGGAGGGGGCAGAAGGAGGGGAAAGGCACAGGAAAGGCAGACCCCTGACACCATCCCCTCCTCACCCCAGGCCAACGCCGCGGCCGCAGCCCTGGACAAGAAGCAGCGGGTCTTTGACAAGATGCTGGCTGAGTGGCAGCAGAAGTGCGAGGAGCTGCAGGTGGAGGTGGACACCTCCCAGAAGGAGTGCCGCATGTACATGACCGAGAGCTTCAAGATCAAGACCGTCTACGAGGAGTGCCTGGAGCACCTGGAGTCGGTGAAGAAGGAGAACAAGACCCTGCAGGGTGAGTCTGGGGGCAGGTGGACGGGCCTGCAGGGACGAGGACACAGCCGGACCCCCCCCCCCCGTCATGGGTCTGAGCACCCAGCGCATAGTAGGTGCACAATCAGTGTTTGCTGACTGGCTGGCAAGCACTTGGTCAAAGCATGTGGGCATTCCGCAGTATAACTTCAGGCAGGTGAGTTACCTGGTTCTTCTGTGCCTCATCTGTAAAATGGGGAAATAATACTGCCTTCCGTGTAAGGCTGTTGAGATAATGAAATAAGATAAAAATGTCTTAAGTCTTCGCTCGGTAGAGTAGCTAGTCAAATAAGGGCTCAGGAGATTTTAGATATTGAGCCCTTCCATCTACCATATGTAAATAATATGTGTATGCATATGTGTTTCTTACATATAGGAGTCTCAGGCTGGAATTTCATTCTGTTGGATATTGCTTGAAAAGTGTTGGTTATCTAATCTTGCCACATGAAATTTGTATTATTTGTTTCTGTGGTTTTCCTAAACACAAACTCAGTGTTCAAGAGACGTCACTTTTTTCCATTTTTGAAGAACTGTTTTGGGGCCCCTGTTCTGCTGAGCAGCAGAAATGAAAACTCAGCCAGTGCAGGGTTTCCTCAATCTGGGCTGCCCCACCCTGCTTCCTCCCCAGGGTTGTATTTGAGTCCTGGTGGGGGCGGGGGGGTTGATGTAGCATCACTGCAATGGAAGGTAGAAAAAGATGGTCCTTGATTGTCCCCAAAGCTGCCCAAGGTCCTATGAGTCACTCCCAGAGGAGCTCTCTGCTTACAGGAGATAATCTTGAGAGTCAACTGTTTAAGGCCTCTCTCTGCTTTCTTAATTTCAGAAGTGTAAGTACTGAAGGACTTGGGCATAAAGTAAATACAAGTTAAAGACTGGGGAGGAAGAGCTGAACCAGATATAGGTTGACTGGACTAGGAGAGGAAGGAAAAGAGGAGGGGGGGGGGTTATGATCAAGTGCTGCTGAGGGTCCCTGCCTACCACCCCCTATCAGCTCCTGGTGCAGGTGAGAAAAGATAGAGGAATAATTGTGTCACATGCCATTACCCCAGGAAGCCGATAGTCCTCATGCTTCTTGTTAACAAAATATTCTTCTTGTTAACAAGAATATTGCTTCTTGTTAACAAGAATATTCCTTTCTCAGAGGAGATAAAGGAACTGATTGATCAGCTGGGTGAGGGAGGACGGAGTATACATGAGCTGCAGAAAATGAAGAAAAAATTGGAGGTTGAGAAGGAAGAACTCCAGGTGGCCCTGGAGGAAGCTGAGTCTTCCCTGGAGGTAACCATGTGGTCATCACATTGGGGGCTGGAACTTGGCCAGGGACCACACACCTGCTGGGCCAGGAAGACTGATGTTTATATTCCTGGCAGGTTGAAGAGAGCAAGGTGATTCGAATTCAGCTGGAACTGGCTCAGGTGAAAGCTGATATTGACCGGAGAATCCACGAGAAAGAAGAGGAATTTGAAGCTACGAGGTATGAGGCTGATGGGACAGGAGACTGAGTCTAGGTAGCATGATGGAGCAGAGTCCAGAAACCTGGGTCTCTGCCACATACCAGTCATGTGTGAGCTTGGGCAATTTAGGTGAGCCTCTCTGAACCTGTTTCCTCATCTGTGAAATGGGAATAATGATGGTACCTCATACTAATATGGCACTCTCTGGTGTGCACTTAGAAATATAGTACTTTAGTGATTCATCACAAAACCCCATGAGATAATAACCCAATTCAAAAATGGGTAGTGAAGTAAATCAGAAGGCGAAAGACAAATACCACATGATATCACTTACATGTGGAATCTGAAATATACAAATGAACTTATTTACGAAACAGAAATAGACTCAGAGACATAGATAACAGACTTGTGGTTGCCAAGGCGGAGGGGAGGTGGGGGAGAGATGGATTGAGAATTTGATATTAGCAGATGCAAACATATAGAATGGATAAACAACAAGGTCCTACTGTATAGCACAGGGAACTATAGTCAATATCCTGTAATAAACCATAATGGAAAAGAACATGAAAAAGAATGTATATATATGTATTACTGAATCACTTTGCTGTACAGCAGAATTAACACAACACTGTAAATCAACTGTACTTCAATAAAATATTTTTTTTAAAAAAAATGGGTAAAGGACTCAAATAGACATTTCTCCAAAGAAGATACACAAATGGCCAACAAGTACATGGAAAGATGCTCAGTATCATTAGTCATTAGGGAAATACAAATCAAAACTACAAGATACCACCTCTCTTCCATTAGGATAGCTACTATCCAAAACACAGAAAATAACAAGTGTTGGCAAGGATGTGGAGAAATTGGAACCCTTGTACACTGTTGGTGGGAATGTAATATAATGGTACAGCTGCTGTGGAAAACAGTATGGAGATTCCTCAAATTTTTTTAAATAGAATTACCATATGATCCAGCAATTCCACTTCTGAGTATATACCCAGAAGAATTAAAATCAGGGTCTCAAAGAGATATCTGTGAACCCAAGTTCATTGCAGCATTATTCATAATAGCAAAAATGGGGAAGCAACCAAAATGCCCAGTGATGAATGGATACACAAAATGTGGTCCATCCATACAGTGGAATATTATTCAGCCTTAAAAAGGAAGGAGATTCTGACACATGCTATAACATGAATGAACCTTGAGGACATTATGCTAAGTGAAATAAGTCAGTCACAAGAAGACAAATTCTGTATGATCCCATTTATATGAAGTACTTAGAGTAGCCATTTGATTATAGCCATCCTGGTGGACGTGAATTGCATTTCCACGATGGCTAATGATGCTGAGCATCTTTTATGTGCTTATTGACCAGCTATATGTCTGATTTGGAGAAATGCCCATTCAAGTTCTTTCCCAAAAACTGGGTTATTTATCTTTTTATTGTTGATTTTAAGAGTTCTTTATTTATTCTGGATACTAGACTCTTATCAGATATATGATTTGCAAATATTTTCTCCCATTCTGTGGGTTGTCTTTTCACTTTATTGATAATATCCTTTGAAGCACAAAAGTCTTAAATTTTGATGAAGTCCAATTTATCTATTTTTTCTTTGGTCACTTAACTGTTGCTTTGAAAAGAGAGATTCTGACCTGTATAGCCAAAGCTCACATTTTATAATGAAAACAAACAGTGGAGACCTTAGCATCTGGCCTTGAATTGACTCCATTGTGGACTAAAGAGTGATCTTTGGCGTGTTTTTCATCATGTTGGAGCCTCAGTTTCCTTGCCAGGCTGTTTTGCATATTAAATGAATTGAGATCACAAAGACACATGGTTAACATCGACCTTCCATTCCTTTTCCCAAAGCATGATGCTCCCCCACTTAAAGACTTTAAGAGGAGATACAGTTTAATCTCACAGCATGCTGGCCGTATCCACATTATTGCTGAGATTTCTTATCTAGAGAGGTTTAGCACATCCTGAACAGTGGGCCCAGTACGCCAAGGCCTTCTCTGCTTGGACTTGCAGGAAGAACCACCAGAGGGCCATCGAATCCTTACAGGCCAGCCTGGAGGCGGAGGCCAAGGGCCGGGCAGAGGCACTTCGGCTCAAGAAGAAGATGGAGACAGACCTGAATGAGATGGAAATCCAGCTGGACCACGCCAACAAGAACAACAGCGAACTTGTGAAGACGCTGAAAAGGCTGCAACAGCAAATCAAGGTAGCAAATCTGGAAGCAGGAAGAACTAATCACAAAGCCAGCCATCCCCGAGCCTGCAGGCTCACTGGGAGCTAATGACATGCCTGTCCAGCCAGGATAAAGGCACAAGAGCGAGAACGTGGGGTGGCTGGCAGTCTAGGGAGCAGGAGACTTGGGGACTGTATAAATGAGAGACCCCAACTACCAAGATCCGTATCCTGGACCACTGGAAAGAGGGAAGGAGGGAATCAGGAATTGGGGCCTGTCTTGCTTTTTAAAATCATTTTTGACTTATTAGAAATGATTACAGACACAGAAAATAAAGAACATAACGAACACCCATATACCGACCACTCATCTTAAATAGAGTTGAAGGCCTGCTTTATCACTTGCTGTCATCAGCCTGGTCTGTAGCACATGCATAGCTGAACCCACGCATTCAACATGTGTTTACTGGAGCCCTGCCCTGGCCAGGCACTGTATTAGGTGCTAGGGGTACAAGAATGGATAAAACAAACAAACTTCCCTGCAGACAAATAATAAGCAACAAATAAATAAAACTGTAGTATTAAAAATGGTGAGAGGGCTTCCCTGGTGGCGCAGTGGTTGAGAGTCCGCCTCCCGATGCAGGGGACACGGGTTCGTGCCCCGGTCCGGGAAGATCCCACATGCCGCGAAGCAGCTAGGCCTGTGAGCCATGGCTGCTAAGCCTGCACGTCCAGAGCCTGTGCTCCGCAATGGGAGAGGCCACAACAGTGAGAGGCCCGCGTACAGCAAAAAAAAAAAAAAAAAAATTGTGAGAAGTGCTATGGAGAAAGACAGGAGAAGGGAGACGGGAATTAGCCAGGGCAGGGTGTAATTGTCAAAGGTCACTGAGGAAGGCCTCCTTGAGAAGACCCTGCTGGAAACACCAGGTCCTCGTCATCAGGAAATCCTTGACCTCATGCTGACCAGGCTGGACAGATCCTCCAGACACCTGGGCCCTGCATCAACCAGACCCTGAACTCCCCAGGGCAGGGCTGCACTTTGCACTCTCTTCCCCTGTGGCCTGCACCTCCCCACCTTCACCCCAGCTCCCCGCTGAGCCTGGTCCAGGAAGGTCATAGCACCCTCAGGTCTGGGCAACCCCTGGCTGTGGGAGAAGGGCTCAGGCCAGGGTCTCTCGTCTGCCAGGACCTGCAGATCCAGATGGACGAAGACGCCCGGCAGCACGAGGAGCTGCGGGAACAGTACAACCTGCAGGAACGGCGCCTGAGCCTGCTGCAGACTGAGATGGACGAGGTGCGCTCGGCCCTGGAGGGCAGCGAGCGCTCCCGCAAGCTGCTGGAGCAGGAGGTGGTGGAGGTCACCGAGCGGCACAACGAGCTCAACGTCCAGGTGGGGGCAGCTACCGGCATGTGGACTCCCACTCGGGGTGCTGGGGTGAGGCCAGGGCGGCGCCCAAACCTCATGGGCTCCCCTCAAAGGCCCACTCGGCAGATCCTCAGAATGCACCTGCAGAGCTTTCTTTCTGTTGTGGTTAGAAAACAAACAAAAAAACCCATAACATAAAATGTACCATCTTAACCATTTTTCAGTGCAGAGCTTTTCAAGATAGACTCCCACGACTCCCCCCTGGAGATTCTGATCCAGTGAGTCTGTAGTGGGACCCACGGGAATTTAACTTTTAGAAACTCCTCATGAAATTCTGATGATTTAGCCAATTTTAAGGACAACTGTTACCACCCCCCATCCCCCCACCCCGCCCAGTGTCCTGAAGATAGAACTTCAGAACTGGAAGGGATCTAGAATATTCCAAAGTCCGACATTCGTGATACACATGAAAAACTGTGGCTGAGAGTTGAGTGGCTCACCCATGGCCAACACCAGGGACCCCAGCGGTGATGCAGGTGCTTCCTGCCGCTCACAATGCAGTCCTTTACCAGCACGGCTTCATCCTTACTCACCATCTCATGCGAATTCACCGAAAGAAAAAAATGTACATGGGACATATAGGGATTACAACCCCACTTTAGAGATAAAAAAGACCAATCCCAGGGGTAAAAAGGAGACACACAGGCAGAAGCACTAGGGCTTGAACCTGGTCTTCCCAGCTCCAAGTTCAGGATTGTACTAGAGATACCACCCACCCCAGGCCTAAATGATGTTCTTCCCAGGCTCCGTGTGACGCAAATTCTAATCTAAAACTCAGAGAAGAATGCAGGATAGAGACCTTCACCCCAAGCAGGGGGCCCAGGGCCATTTCTTGTTGGGGGTCTGGGAGAGGGTGGCTTTTCCTGGACACAGGAAGGGCTGTGCAGACTCTAGGCTCATGGCAATGTCTTCGTTTCCTCCTCCAGAACCAAAGCCTCCTTGTGGTCAAGCGTAAGCTGGAGTCTGATGTCCAGCGCATCTCCAACGAGCATGAGGAGCTCATCAGTGAGTTCCGCTCGGTCGACGAGAGGGCCAAGAAAGCCATGACAGACGTAAGTGCGTGCACGGCCTGCTGCAGCCGGGAGGGGCCTGGGCACCCTACCCCCACCCCAGCCAGGCCCCCTGCCAGCGACCAGGCCACCCTAGGCAGGGAAGGCCGCCTCCTTTGGTTTCTGAAAAGCCAAGAGATTAGAGCATGAGGCCTGGGGACACAGACCAAAGGAGCCGTTGAAGTGGGCTCATCTGGGCAGGTATTTTGGCAAGGAGAGGAGCCTTGAACCAGCCTTAAGGGGAGGGTTAGTGAAAGGAAGATGGGTGCCGTGCCCAGGGGTTCAGGGCTGGAGGGTCAGCAAGGGAGGCCTTCAAGTGTTTTCACCCTGGTATCCCTTTGGGTGCTCAGTGGTGGATGCTACGTGCCCCACTTTAAAGATGAGGAAATACAGATTTTATCGTCAAGCTCCTTAGGCTTGACTGAAATGCCAGGAGCTCAGGAACATTGTTGGTCTTACTTGGTGCTGTGTTCTGAGATCATAGACTGGTACCCGGCACGCTGTAAGCCCTCCATGAATATTTTACACAAGAACAAGTGGGTTAAATGACTGGGGCTGGGTGCAGACCTTGGACTTTCTACTCAGACCTGTGTTTTTCCCGCTCTCTGTGCTGTGCCCCTCATGGAGGAGACAGCAGAGTCTGGCTGGAGAGCGCCGGCTGGCGGGTCCATGGGATTGGGCAGCCTGGGCCTGAGCACAGGCGCCTGCCTCCTCCCATCGCTCGGAGGGATGTGGGAGCATGGGGCACCCCCTCTACCACACCCCAGCAGCATGTCAGCCAGGGTCCTCTTGTCCACCGCTTGGTGTCCCAGAGGCTGGGAGACAAGGTCCCTCGTCTCTCAAAGGCACTAGGAGCCTGGATGGGAGCCCAGCTCCAGTGCTTCCACCCGCCCCCCCACCCCAGGCTGCCCGCATGGCCGAGGAACTCCGGCAAGAGCAGGACCACTGCATGCACCTGGAGAAAATCAAGAAGAACTACGAGGTCACCATCAAGGACTTGCAGGCCAAGATGGAGGAGGCTGAGCAGCTGGCTCTCAAGGGAGGGAAACGCACAATCATGAAGCTGGAAGCCAGGGTGAGGGCGGCACTGAACCAGAGGGAAAAAGGAGATGGGAAGGGGGTCTTTTCCCCCCAAAAGTGCCAAGCATCTGATGAGGAGCTGGGCCTCTAATCTATTTCTACAACGGTCTCCTCTCCTCCTCCTCTCCCTGTCACCTTCCCCACAGAGTGTCCTTAGTCCCCAAGCAGAGTGGTTCCCCACATTCTTCCTCTGTCTCTGTTCCCAGTCTCTGTTTCCAACATTATTTCCTCTCTTATTACTTACTTAAAACGAGCCTCCGTCTTCACCTCATGGAATGTCAGAGCTGGAAGGGCCCAGGGGGTCGGTCACCTTGTCCCACCCCTGCCTCCCCCATTTTCCAGAGGAGGAAACTTGAGGCTCAAGGCATCTGACCACCTGCTGGTGAAAGGCTGAGCCCACCCAACCCTCCTGGGCAGGGCTCACCTCTGGGCAGGAAGTGGACACCGCAACACCCCTGCCCAAGGCCACTGAGCTCTGAAGTTCAAAAACCTGCATTCCCCCAGCCGCATTCCTCTCCTCCTCCCCCAGATCAAGGAACTGGAGACGGAGCTGGATGGGGAGCAGAAACAGCACGTGGAAACGGTCAAGACGCTGCGGAAGAATGAGCGGCGCCTCAAAGAGCTGGTCTTCCAGACGGAGGAGGACCACAAGACCAACCAGCGCATGCAGGAGCTGGTGGAGAAGCTGCAGAACAAGCTGAAGGTCTACAAGCGGCAGATCGAGGAGGCGGTGGGTGCCCACCACGTGGCCCCAATTCTCCCCCCTTCCCAGCCCAGGTTTCCAGCCTTGGTTAGAATGAACCACAGGAGAGGACTCAAGTCTTGGCCAAAAGATGGCTTCCTGTCCACAGCACTTCATCCTCGCTGTCACATGGGCAGTGGACTAGACATGACACACTGGAGATAAGAACGTGTAAAAAATGAAAATATCCCGAGAACACCCGTGCTAACTAAAACACCTACTTCGGTGGGATCTAAAGCCAGGGAAGGTCTCGGGTGCCTCCGTCCTGCTTCCACTGCCCCTTGTGGCCTCTCCCTCCTGGTCAGAAGGTTAAATACCAGGACCTTCCCTTTTTTGATCCCCTTGACACAAGGCAGGAAGGCTGATACTCTTAATCTATTTCACAGGTGAGGAAACAGCCCAGAGTAGGGTACTTATGTTATTTCAGTCAAAGTCACATGGTTAGCAAATGGCAGCTTCAAATCTCAACCCTAGACCACACGCCCACCTGCCGCCACCATCATCCCCCACCCAGGATGTAGATATTTGACTCTGCTGTCATTTGCTGCCAGTTCTGGGACCACCACGTTGACTCCATCATCCACCCACGCACCTAACACTGTTCCCAAGAGACTCAATAAAGGCCAGGTTTACAGGAAATACGGTTCTAACCAAAATGACACTATTACTCTCTTGGGAAGATGAGGGGGTAGGAAATGTGTGACAGGGGCTCAAGAAAGCACCAAATCCACATCTTCCATGGTGGGGTACCAATAGCTAATGCCTAAAACCACACATTATAGAAGCCGCAACAGAGCACATTTTATTTAGAAATATGGACGTCAAAGCCAAAAACAATCAGCTAAAAGCGTTGAAGGTAGGTGTCCGTGGTGACCTGGAGGATGCCCCGACCCAGGACTGCTGTGTTTCCTAATAAGCCTTACAGAAAGACTGGACTCTTTAAGATGTCCATGTAGAACTGAAAACAATTCACGTTTAGCCAGAACAAGCCAGGTTTATGCCCCATTTTCCACTGTGCCTTTGTCACAGGAGGAGCAGGCCAACCAGACCTTGGCTCGCTATAGGAAGACGGTACATGAGCTGGATGACGCCGAGGAGCGGGCCGGCATGGCGGAGACCGCCCTGAACAAGCTGCGCACCAGACACCGCGTGGCTGGCAAAGGCATCACCTCTGTGGAGATCATCCAGGTGTCCAAGACAGGCACCTCCAAAACTCTTTCTGAGGAGTGAGGTGCCACGTGTCCCAGCTCACAGCCGGTAGGTGTGGACTCTATGCTCCAAGTTCACTTCCCCTGCTCTTGCTTTGCTCTTTCCAACTTCTCTGCTTCCTGTCTGCCATGCCCCGACCTTATGCAACGGGGATCCCAAAGCCTCCCCTGTCCCTTCAGCCGCAACACTCCCTTAGCACTCAGGTGTGATGCCGTCCCCTTGTGTCACAGGTGCTGGTGGTCGTGATGCTCCCCCCATCTGAGTGGAAGCTCTTGGGAGGCAGGTTCCGTGTCTGCTGCCCCTTCACACTAGGCCTGGCAGATAGGTGCTCAGTACATGCTTGTTTTCACTGGAGAACTGTAGGGACATCTGCAAGCTTATAGGTGGTGTGCATTCATCTTTCATATCCCCCACAGTATCATCCCTGAGGATTTCATCAATGCTGGCTGAATTTAGGTTTCTAACATCAAGGAAATCATCATCATCACAGCTACCATTTCTTGAGCACTGAGCGCCAGTGGGATTTTAGGGGCAATTTTTTTAATAGTCTTTTATTATTTTCCTTAATCCAGAACCAATTGAGAAGAAATACAGGAGACAAATACATAAAAGTCACAATGCTACTTTTATTATGATACAATTCTAGATTGAGAATTCATGGGTGTCTACCATGAGCATCCTTGTACTTCACCCCAGAATTAGAAGTACCTGCAGAACTGAACAACCACAGCCCTGCTCCCTGGGGAGCAGCCCCTACTCCAAGGGCAGGAATGACCAGAGCTCATCGACCCTGCAGGTAGATCCAAAAGGAGACCAGATGGGGTTCATCCCCGCCTTCCTGGTTCCTTCTTCCAAGTACAGGATAAACCACTCCTCTTCCCATGAGAGGAGCAAGGGAAAGGTGAGAAGCAAAGAACATTATTCTAGAGCAGTGGTTCCCAAAATGTGGTCCTTTGGACCAGCAGCCACCTCAGCATCACCTGGGAAGTTGTTAGAAATGCGAATTCTTGGGCTCCATGCCAGACCTACTGAAGCAGAAGCTCTGGGGGTGGGCTCTGCATTTGAGGTTTAACCAGCCCTCCAGGTGATTCTGACATATGGGCAAGTTTGAGAACCAGTGCTGTAGCAGAAATCTCCCCTTACAGAAACAGGAGCCAGGGAATGCAGGTTTCTTCTACTTTCACAAGAGCCAGACATGTGGTAAATGTTTTTCACTCTAATTTATACCGTTGAGGTAGGTATAAATATCTGCGTTTGCCAGGTGAGGAAAATGAGCTCAGGGAAGTTCAGTGACGCCCATGGTCACGCAAGCCCTGTGTTATGGAAAGGCAGGCTGTCCTTTATTTTAATTGCTGTGGAGACTGATAAGGTTACCGTCTGATTAGGATGAACCAGGACAACTCATGATCAAGGACTTGGTTTAGGTTGGGAGGGGCAGGGGTTTGGAGTCTCAGTGCCACATGCTGATGTTCAACCTCCACGGATTCTGGGAATTTTTTTCTGGCCTCATGTTCGAGCATCCGGTTGAGTCAGCCCTTGGTGAGGGTAAGGTCCCCCACTCACAGCCCTCTATCTCTCAGGACCGGGTCAGTTTGGGTTTTAGCCAGAAGTGATAACCCCATTGACCTTTGAATTCAAGCTGAGACTTTTCTCACCATTTGCTTAGGGAGGGAGCAAAAAATAGGACACAGAATCTTCTTTTTAATTCTCTAATTCTTAAATAATGGTTAGCTCAGGAAGTTAAGGAAACCAGAGGCTTGCCTCTGGATGAGTCCTACAATTAACATGTAACCCCCTCCCTTCAGGGCAAAACCCTCAAAGGGGTCCCTTCTTTTGAGCTCCCCCCTTGGTGGGGGTTACTCCTGAGGCCTCCTGCACCACCCAGACTCAGGAGGCATTTCAGCTCCTTCTGCCTGCTAAGTCTTAGCCTCCAGGATTAGGCACTTTGTAAAGCAGATCCCCTGCCCCAGCTTGGTGACTGTTTATTCCTGGGGTCTGCTGGCCCTGGTCCAACTGCTCTGTCTTCGTGTCATTGGGTTACAGTACTGCCAACAGTGCCCAGAGGCAGAGCCCCTGGGGTCTGCTCTCTGTGTCCTGGTCCATCCTCACTCTTTTACCCCATTTTCCCCTTATCAGTCACAGATATGCCATTGTGGCCATGAGATATTGCAAGCAAACTAGTACATGGGTTAGCACTAAGCCAAAATCCCACAGGAATTTAGTTTTCCAAAGTGGCATTATCTTCAATCACAAATACTGACCAAGCTCTGAATATGGACTAGGCCTGTACTCTGGGATACAGAGATGAATAAGAAACGACATCCCGCCTCGTGGAGCTCAGAATCCAGTGGAGAGGCAGACACACACAGCAATCACAAGGTTGTGAGCGACTGTTCTGTAGTGTTTGCTTCTCACAGGAGGGGATTCCAGGGGAGGAACGACTGGTTCGACCTGAGGTGGCTAGGGAGCAGCTCCATGGAGGACATGACCCGTATGAGAGTCTAGAGCAGCGCCACTCAGTGGGTGGTCCCCACTGCAGAAACTGAGAGGAAGAGTTTAGAAATTTCGAGAGCAATTGGATGCTGCCATGACATCCAAGTGCATGGTCAGTGTATTTCATAAAAGTATTCATCTCAGATAGTAATTAAAATAAACAAAAAAGAAAAGTAAAAATAATAGAATCGAAATTAAAAAGAATAAATAAAATGGATCCCTCACCAGGTAGAGAGGGAAAGAAGGGAATTCCAGGTAGAAGGCCCAACACATGCAAAAGTGCAGAGGTGGGATGCGCACAAGGGTACAGCATGACTGGAGAAGAGGGGCTCAGGATGAGGTCACAGTGCTGGACAGGGTGGGAGACAAAGCTGGTGGGACAGGTGTGGGGGGTAGGTGTGAAGGGCCCTGCTGGGAGCAAGTGTTCCATAATCTCCATAAGGAAATCTTGCTAATTTTTAAAATCCATTTGTGGGATGTGAGGAGTAGTAGCTTTTCTTTCTTGGGAAGACACATCAAGTTGGCAAAAGAAGCCTCTTGGCCCCTCATGAGACATTGCAGACAAGTGCATGGTGAGCATTGCATCCCAGGGCATCCCACTCTGGCCCTCTCAATGGCCCGACTAGAGTTCAGACCTACCTGGGCATGCCAGGCCCAAAGAAGGTGTCCCTAAACCCTCACAACCTAGCAGAGAATGAGCCAGGTATGACCCAGTGGTGTCCATTACAAGGAAGGAAACCTGTGCAGAAGCAGCCCAGAAACCTGAGGGCCACTGTCTTTCTAGCAAGAAGGGGTCAAAGATGTCAGAATTCCCAGCTCTGGCCCACAAGGGTCTTCTCACCCTCTCTCTCTTTTTTCTTCCAGGGTGACACAGATCACAACAGCAGACCACTGACAGGAAAAATATATGAAAATGGAAAACTGGGTCTATCCTGAGAATGTTTACTATGCAAAGGAAAGTGCAAGCCAGAAAGAGATAGGTGCAAAAGAATAAAGATAGCTGTGGGGGAGATGGGCTTGGGGATGTGAATACCCAGCCATTAGAGGAATTTAAATTAGCGCGGCTTCTCCGAGATGGCATCAACCTGTCAAGCACTTGGATAACAGTAAGAGTGGGTCTGATTTAGTTGAGATTCTACATGTTCATGTCAAGGACGGAATATGTAATGTCTGTGGGACTTGGCTGATCTCTAGAAGTAATTCCTCGTGTGGACAATTTTGATACCTTGTCCCCATGCATCTTAAATAAAAGAAACTTGAAAAATGGACTGAGATTGTTTTTAAGTGAAGAATTTTTTCTGTGACTTCCGAATCCAAAGGCAATTTTTATAGTATATCAGAGTTCTGTTGTGTCCGTGACCTCATTCACAGGCTTGTGTCTATTGGAAACCATGAAACCTATGTAGTCATGGTGAGGTTCTTTGCAAATTGTGAAAGGGTGTATCATATCAGAGATATGAAGAGAGATATCATATCAGAGATATGAAGACAAACTAGGTTTCATAAAGCTGAGATAGTTACAGGACCCCCTAAAAGGATGTTAAGATGCATCCAGGCTAACGACCCAAAGGCCCCCCACGCCACGCCTCAGCATCTCCCTGGATGCTCAGACACAGGCCAGCTCTGTGAGGGCAGGCAAAGTGTATCTTGTGTGTTTTATTCACTGCTGTTTCTCAGCAATAAGATAGCGCCCAGCCTGAAGGGAGAACACAGTAAATACGGTAAATACTTTTGGAGTGAATGCCTCCCAAGGCAGTGCTTCCTGACATTGCACAGAGAGCTTCCTTAAATCAGGCTGAGCCCTGCCCCCTGGTGGAATCCACTTGTCAACCCTGGTTTTGACACCCAGGACCCTACAGAACCACCTGAATGGAAGGCAGGTCTCACGGTCCCTCCAAGTTGCTCTTCCCTTCCTGGGTCCTTTCATCTTCCCAAGTGTGACAGAATTTCTTTGTCACCTTCTGACACTCCTCGACCCTGTTTCTCTCCTCACTGTCCTAGTCTTTGGGGTGCAGGGGCAGAGGGAGCAGCCCTCAGAATGCCCCTCCTCCCCAGCTTCATGGAAATGGGGTCTTCCCTTTGAATTTCAGCACCCTGACCTCTCCAATGCACTGGCAGACAGAAATCATTGTTCAGGCTGGTAGAAGAAGGGATATTAATATGCTGGTGGTGGATCCCTCTCCGTCTTCACACGGGCCCACATCACCCCCATGATGGTTCTAATCTTCACACTCTCTAGGCACCTCAGAGGGAACGGGGTTTGCGTCCTTCTGTGCAAATGCACCAAATGTGAAGACGCTGCCCTCCGGTGGTGGGGTCTCCAACTGCTGTATGTGAATTTCCTGGGAGACACCAAATCACACAATCTTAGAATTATATTAGAATTTTAGGGCTCAAAAGGACATTTGGAGAGTGTCTAGTCCAACTTTCAGCCAGTTTGGGATTCCCTTCCACAGCATCCCTGAAAAAAATGGTAATCCAACTTGAACTCTTCCAGTGAAAAAAAGGCAGCTCATTGCAGTTTTGGCTGACAATCATGGTTCAAAAGTCCCACCCAGTATTGAGTCGAAATATGTCTCCTCTATTTTGCCCTTACTTCAATCTAGTCTTCACCTCAGTAATTACATAAAATAAGTCTAATTCTTTTGCTCTGAAGTCAGATATGGGTTCCACTTTGCCAGCAGTGTGACCTTGGGCAACTTAACCTGTCTTATCTCCTGTTTCCTCAACTATTAAATGAGGAATAATAAGAGCATCTGCCTCGTAGGAATGTGAAGTTTAAACAAGATAACTTGGCACGGAGCCCATTATGCGTGGCACTGAAACACTCGCCAAGTTTCTTCTAGCATTCCGTAGGACTCCGACACTTGACCTCCTGGGGGAGGCTCTGCTGGGCTGTCAGTCTAGTAGCTGATGGCAGCGAGCCTCTTCCTGGAGAGATGCCAGGAGCATTCCATGAGGTTGAAAGACCTCATCATTGTTTCCTGGAGGACAGTCCACTTTTGGTCCCCCCACACTCAGAGAATTTCAGAGCAGCTCCTGACTTTGCCAGGGAGGGTGGGGGCCCAGAAGTAGATAGGCTCAGTGACTTGCCCAAGACCATTCAGTTAATGCAGAGACAGAAATAATTCTTTGTGGCAGGAGATGAGGTGAGGTTTCTGACCCAGTGTTTATAAGAAAACGGACTTCACCTCGCCACATATGCTGTTTTTTGCCTAAGGACATGAAATCTCAGAATGGCTTAAAGGCCTAAAAGGGTATAATCTATATGGCCTTACAAAATACTAATATATAATTGGCATCCATGATGATTTAAATCAGGGCACTGGCACCATGTTCTGTAGAGTAAATGGAGCAAAGACTATTTAGATGGTTTTGCTAAATGTTTTGGGATAGCTTTCAAGGCTGCTAAATTTTGTATCACTGATTGTATTAAGTATATTTTCTTATTTTCTATATTCTTGAAGGTCTGGCATCTGAGGAGACACTGCCTCTCCCAGGGCTGCCAATTCTTAGGGATAGCAAACAGCTCTCATACACAGACTAACCAATCTGGAGCCCAAACTCTGAACCACCTCCTCTATCCAGTTCTTATACTCTGCGAGGCAATATTCCCCTGCCCTAATTATCCCAGGACCAGGTAGCAGACGAGGGACTGCCCCTCTGTCCCACAGCCTGCTGAAATTAACCAATCCTAACCCTGCTCACCCTGCATCGCCCATTCCTTCCCATGGAAACCGCAATGAAAGCTCGTGCCCATGCTTTCCCCCTTGCTCCTTCTACTCCTGACCAACCCTGGTGCTTCCCCACATGGCCCTGAGTGGCATGTCATGCCATGCTTCCTACTTCTAGGTCTATGAGTGTATAAACTTCTTCCTTCATGACAATCATTTCTATGTCTGTGTATCTTCCCACACCTGATTAAAGCAAACCGCAGGTACATTTTAAGGTACATACACCAATTATCTTCCTCCTCCTTTCACATGTGAACCACTACTGGGTCCTTGTAGGGAACCCAGCAGGTTCTGGGTCATCCCCATGGAGCACAACTTTGGGTGTTTCCAGAAATCACAAAGACCCCGGGCCCTTCCACCCACAAGCTACCAGGAACTGAGGCTGGAGATCTGTTGTGAAAAGGCCAACCCTGAGTTATGGTAAAACCACAAGACTGGAAGGGAACTTGCTGGCTATAAGGGACTGTTATAAGGGACTGTTCTCTCCTCTGAACCCTGAACCCTGGCTTAGGCTAATGAAAAGTGTATCCTGAGACTTTGGAGCAGTGATTCCGTAACACTTTTTTCTACAGACATTTAAAAAACCAACTTTTAAATAAAGACAGCAAAACAGTAACCAGATATTTCGACCAAGGGGGAACCTGTATTATGAAAATTAGGTTTGGCAATTAGAAAGGCTACTGTGGGGGTAGGTACAGGATGCAACAGGAGAGTCCTGGAAGGTAGAGGAAATCGTGTCTTTGCTGGTGCCTAAGGATGCGTAGTAGGCATAAAGGGGAGGGAGAGCCTGGGGGAGTGGAAGGTAGGAGTGGGGAGAACTCGCTGAGAGTGTGCTTGGTGGCAGGTAGTGGCACATGAGCCAACAGTGGTGCAAGCAACAGTGACATCTAATGATCTTTCACACCAAGCCCTGCAGTCACAGGTTCCAGAATTAGTGCAATGTGAAGGACCCCGGTCTCTACCTTTCCACACTGCTCTACCCTTCCGTCTGTCAAGACAGTTGCCACAACTGGTTAACTTCCCTCCAACTATGAAATTGCTCAACTTTTGCCAACATCTTCATTTGGGAGTATGATATGAGAAGCAGCCACAAATATATATGTGATAAGCACACAAAATCAGAGGCACGCTATATGCTACAATAGAAATATAGCCATCCCAGGTTAATCCATTCCCCAAAACAATTCTAAGATCAAAGGAGTCTATATCACACTATTTTAAGTGAGAAAATAAGAATGCATTCACCATCTGTCCAAAAATTCCAACCGGTTTCTCTAAATATCACTAAAACCCTCCTGAACACCTATAAAACAATTCTCCAAACATTTCTGCATAATATAAACATTTTAAACACTAATTACCTATTTATTTAACACTTAATGAACTCCATAGTGATTACACTTGTGAGCAGTACATGATGACATGCCCTATACTATATTTGATGAGAATTAAATATTCCCTTTAACCTACAACAGACATGTACCACAAAGCAAACAATGTAATAATGTGTAAAAGACATATCATTAATGCAATAGGGTTTAGCAAAATAAAAATAACAGGATAATTTTTAAAAAATGGTTACTTACCAAATGATTCTGGTAATGGAGGACTAGGGTGACAGACAACTCTCTCACTAACGATAATTAAACAAGTGGACAAAATACACAAAACATCTACTCAAAATTAAAAGAGAACTAATAAGGTAGTAATTACCAGGTCAATATCCAAGAGAAACACCAGAGAGTGAGTTCAGCATTTTAGGACTGCTTTACCCAGAGGGCTATTTGCTAATTCCAGTACAAGTGGTTGAGAGTCTGAGCAGTACTTTTGACAGCCTATCATGACCACAAAGACAAAAGTCAGAGTCCAGGGCCCTCCAAGGATGAGGGTCCTGGTAAATGTCTGTTGTATTACTTAGAGTTCTCCAGAGAAATGGAACCAACAGCAGAGAGAGAGAGAGACAGAGAGACAGAGAGAGAGAGAGAGAGACAGACAGACAGACAGACGGAGAGAAAGATAGATAGAGTCAGAAAGATATATATGTAGATAGATGTAAAGAGATTTATCATAAGGAACTGATTCACATGATTATGAAGGCCAGCAAGTAAAAAATCTGCAGAGTCAATGTCCTGGTTCAAGGCGGAAGGCCAGAAGCTGCTGTAGAACCAGAAAGATCCAATGTTCCAGTTCAATTCCTCCTGTCACGCAGGAGGAATTATCTTTTACTTGCAGGAGGTCAGCCTTTTGTTCTATTCAGGTCTTCAACTGATTGGGTGAGCAACATCCACATTATGGAGGGCAATCTGTTTTCAGTCTACCAATTTAAATGTCAATCTCATCCAAAAAACTCCCTCACAGAAACATCCAGAATAATGTTTGACCAAATATCTGGGCATCTTAGGGCTCAGTCAAGTTGACAAATAAAATTAACCACCACACCTGTGTTTTGGGTTGGGATTCGAGGAATAAGGGTGAATTAGAAGATGAACATTCTTCCCAAGGACTGGAGCCCAGCTTTGAGTCATCTGGGT